TCTGCACGTGCACCATGCGCTGATGTCAATTCCGCGCAGCCGGACACCCCCACCCCACCCCAACCCCCATGGACATAATTTAGAATTTAAAATAGTGTTGAAATTGTTATTTTAGATTTAGGTTTTATAACATGTTTGATAGTCTAAATTGTTAAATTGACAACTTACCCCCAACCCCTGTTATGTTTGATTGTACATAAGTCATACATTTGTACACAAACGTGTTACTTATGAAACGTCACGTGACGGCAGACATAATAATGATGATTGAGAAGTTTTGTTTCAAAGTGGATACAGCCATACAATTAAGGGATTGACTGCAAGAATCGTAAGGAGCCTTGCACGACGATAGACACTTTTTCGCAGCAAATTGATTGATTTTTCCTTCTCAAAACGCCACTACTCTCTTCTTTCCCTTAGCCCTTGCTTCTCTGATGTTCTTCACACAATCCTGAAAACGTAATACTGATTTTATTGAAATAATGAGATGAAACTCAACAGCTTTACAACTACTGACTGACAATCCCAAGTCCTAGTTATTCCTCGTGTTTCACCCTTGAGTGTAGATCAATGCCGAAGTCGTGAAGCTGATGAAAAGTCAGATAATAGTTAACATACTTTGAATGATAAGGGTAATGCTGTTTATATATAAACAAAGTATCGAATACACCACACACAAGACATGCACTAACTAAAACTCTCACTTTAAACCAAACAATGTAACGCCGCTTTTAACAGTATTCCAGTTATATCACGGAGTGTCAGCTTAATGTGGGAGGAAAGGCCTCAAACGTTTACCACTTCGGTGAAACCCACGAGCACGGTATGGTGCTGACAAACTTAGGAACATTATCGGGGCGAACAGGGATTCGAACAAATGGATATAAATGTTCAATAACCAATATATATAATACATATAACCAATACATCAACACACACATACACATGTTGATTGTAGTTGCAAACCATGCTACTGATTAAGTTACCGACAATCAGTTTCGTGCGCTTATAAACACACTACCTACTGAGAAATCAAACTATCATCGAACATCAGGGCCCCGTTCCACAAAGCGATCTTAGGGCTAAGTTGATTGTAACTCACTAAGTACGCGATCTTAAATTTTGGTTACGATCGGCCGCCCGTTCCACAAAGCAATCTTAACTAAGAGAGTTGTAAGTTAAGATCAAAATGCTAAGTTGCTCCGGACCAACTTAGGATCGCTAAAATCGATCTTAAATATTGTACCATAACAACAAAGATGGCGTATGTTGACTTATTATTATATCAGATAACATTCTGACAGTCCACAGCTCACTTACTTGTTAGCGATGTCCTCCCATATGCTGCCTTTCAGCTTATTGGTGACGGTAGAGCTGAATGAGGAATTCAGTGTCGTGTGGTGAACAGCCACCTCATCAACAAGGACAGCGATCTCGCTTGCTGAAAAATTGCTGCGACGAACGTGTTTGACGCCGACAGAGGTCTGCGATTCGGCCATATTTCGACAATGCGTCGTCTGCTAAACATGACCAAGGGAGGCCACTCTTAGGGAAACTTTCGTATCTTCATGGCTGAAGATTCCGATCTTTGTTAAGATCGGCTACTTAAGAACTTGTAAAGTTACAATCGCCCTAAGATAGCTTTGTGGAACGGGCGTAAACTTTAGCTAAGACGATTTTATAATCGACGTAAGTCTCTAAGATTGATTGTAGATACGATCGCTTTGTGGAACGGGACCGGCCAAAACTTCCCCACAGTCCCAATCTATCTACACTAGGTGTTCATATCATCGGTGTATCTGTACCCTCAAAAGTGTCGTCTTTAATATCCCAAGTGTCATCCAGTCTAAATATTCTTCGGATAAAGATGGTAAGAATACTTTTCACTCACAGGGACTCTGAAGAACATAGATCAATTCTGAATCATCCGTTACCTATTTCCATTGAGAATCACGTGTAATATTCTTCTATTCTCCTTAATGTATTTAACATTCATTCCTTCACTCATTTCTTTCTTAGAAGATGAGTGCCATTCAATATTGATATGTTTTAGGCATTTATTGCTCCGGTTTTGGCATTTCCAAATATATATATTTCAAATGTTATTGATGATTGATGACAAACGTTGTCAAAATATATTCATAATTCAAATGTTTTCAGAAATGCTTTCCTGATATTTATGCCCACTGAACAAAGTATGTGATCTGGACTACCAATTGTGGGACTTCCATTTTTTTATTTGAAATGCATCGGTGGCTAGGTGGGTAAGGTCGCTGATAAGATGCCTTCGTCCGAGAAGTGTGGGTTTGAATCCCGGATGGGACACAACCCCCACAAAATACTAGGATTTGTACTTTACTAAGAAAGTCTGATCACAAACATAACATATGCCACATTTTACCACTTTCTGAAAGGCATTGTATATATATAAACGTAACATACTGCTTAAATCACACAAGTGTGTTATCTCTCTGTGCGTCGTAGATGTGGCCTTTGCCCAGACATATGTGATAGTCCTGAGTTGTTTTAACAAAAAAATCAAAACCATAGAATGAGTCTCGATTATCTGCCGAAACAGATTCCATTGGGCGTGAAAGACAAACTAGCGGTGACTATTTATATGACTGGATCATTGAAAAAACGAGATGTCCTGCCCTACCTATAGCACTCGCCATCCACACGATTTGCATGAAACAGAAAGTGTTTGTTTGTGGCCTTATGTTGCATGTACAGCAGTGCACAGTATCGACGCACTTTTGGTATTGTTATCTATAAATATGTCACAGGTATGACCTTTGTTATGACAGATGTTCCAGGTCTTCAGGCTTTCCTCAAAATTGATATGAACCAAAGCCGAAGGACAATGGAATAAGAAAATAGTTATGTCACATGCATGGTTTTAAACACTTAAATTCGATGTGATTGTCACAAACAATATTTTCTCATTAGTAGATATGATGAAAAAAAATTACTTTGACCGCGAGCACATATTATTATAGCAACATTGTCTGCAGCTGCCAAAGTCTCCTACACAGCACCATACCCATGCTCTTATCTTTCACCAAAGTGGCAGACAGCTATAATCTCTATAACATTTAATTTTTTTAAACAATATTTAACTCGTTACTACTAAAGCCCCGGGTTTGTTCCGCTCATTTATAATGAAGTTGTAAAAGTAGTAGATTGATTCACTGACGCTTTAGGTGTTATCGAAAACTAGGGGTGTATCTACAATGAATGCGAATGTTAAAACTCTGAAGCGTTATCTAAAACGCGCCATACGGCTATCTTTTCCCTGTCAGATGTTAAGGGATGGTCATGATTTTATCCTAGAAAGGGCACAAGGGCACAAGTATTCAACACATGTAAAAGTGAGTTTCTTATCGGGCATAAATATATAAGAAATATAATTACATAAACGTAAAGTATACACCAACACGGCCATGTGTACGGTGTTGACAAGGCAAATGATCAAGAACTTTCATTCACATAACTGAAATATAGCTTTGCAAATAAGAAATCAGATAAATGCAGTTACTTACAGTGTTCATGGATATTTTGACAAACATTGAATGAGTGGGTTTGGTTTACGTCACTTTGAAAAGTATTTCAGTTACAGCAAGGACGTCAGCATGATGTGGGAGGAAAGACCGAAGTGATGCAGGTCTTAGACGTTTACCACTTTGGTGAAACCCACGATCACAGGTTTGGTGCTGACAAACCTATAAACACAATTAGGGCGAATTATTGAATCGAACCCACGACCGTAGGTTACTGGCACGAATTGGGACGACTTTGACGACTGGGCCTACATTGTCCGTTGACAAACAATCACAGTGTTACTGGAGAGGCGATTACTTGGCATCCATACTACTATTGTAGAAAGTCAGAGAAATTACGGGGAATACTGGTGTAATAAATCTCTGCGAAGCCTTTAGCAAGTGTATTCTTTCTGTATAGAAATGGTTGTCCCCCAATTCCTCTAGCACAAACGTGTATGTACGATCCTGCAACTCCACGTTCGGCATATAACATATGAAGGAATTTGACGTCAATATGCTGTTGTAACCATTCCAGCAGCCTTGATCTTAGATCGACTAATTATCTATATAATTCATTATGTAGTTGCAATAATTTGAAATACTGTCAAACAAAACGTATACTATCAAAGCCTATATAGTCATAACAATGGTATATACATAAATGAATTTACTTACATGTGGCTGAAACGTACCATCATTTATAAACATGCCTGTAACGATCCAACTGTTTTAGGCACAGTTAATCACTGTTTACTTTCCACTTCAGTTCCCTTGTAACATATTAATTAATCATAATGAACCACAAATATTTTTATGAAAGCTCGACATTTTCACCTCTCGAATACCGTCACAATAACAAAAATGTTCTTAGAACTGATTTATCCAGTGACTATTGATGACAATTTGTACAACCTAAACTACTCGCTTAACTTCAGCTAACTACCTTACAAGTACCATTGAATTGAGTTGGATTACGAAAAATAAACAACGACAGACAGTGATGATGAAGTTGCTTCTGTTCCTCGTCCCTCCTGTAAGGGCAGGTGAAGAAGTGAGGGTACAGGTCAGTCGAGGGGTTAACTTTTAAGTCAATGTTAATGATTCAACCTCACTCTTTGGTGGTACTATTGCGTTTGCGGACAGATTTAACCAATAACCAGGGAGGAATAAACACATTTGCATAATAACATTAACGAGGTAATTATCTGGTTTATTCTCATTGGGAAGACAACAGTCAGGGCATTAAAAGTCACTAATTTCCACAAGCAAAACATTGGGAACGTCAAAATAACGAACTGAATCCGACATAATTTTTGTCACTGATGCGTCAAATATGGAAATATCCTCCACATGTCTGCAATAAAAGTTTCCGAAAGCCCATCTAAGAGCTTGAATTTTGTAACCCTGGTCAAACAACTTTTGAGCAAGAGTCGCATGCCGCCTTTGAAATCATTGTAGAAAAAGCATTCTCGATTTACCTCAAAAGTTGTGAAATGTAGACGCCAAAGGCTTGAGCTGCTGGAACCGCTAGACACGAATGAAAAGTTGTCCATTGGTAAGCTAAAGCCATCCCTCCTAAAGTATTGGGCACAAAAGTCTGACTACTGCAAGTTTGGCAGTCGAATATTGGTGATATTGTCGTTTGAAAAGAACATTGTTAATTGGTTGGACGTTTTCTTTTAGCAATGTATAATTCCTACGATCCACACTCAAATCGACTGAATTTGATAAGCTGTAGTTTAACCTCAGCAACACATATGGCCATCATGAGTCAAACAAGTGAAACTACCGTTATGATATAAAAATTACCCAAGAGAAGTTTGAAAACGCCATTGGAGTCTGTTATCTATTTATACGTCATAGACCTGCCCTTTGCCCAGACATAAGTTAAGTGGTAGTCCTCTATATTTGGAAGATATGGTTCATTCCAAACAATTGTGTTATACATAAGATACCCTAAAGTCTTTTATTCCCAAGTCATTTTATGCAGGAGTTGTATGATAGTGAGAACGCGTCTACATGGATAGCATATGTTAATTCATTTTTAAAGACTAACATTACTCCACAATCTGCATGAACCTACGCTGACATCGCGGACTGGGCCATCACGTGATCCGAGATAAGTGTTAAATTACGAGAGAATTGCAGACAGTTAGCAGTGCTGGTATACCGTTGTATATCCAACACATGACATAGAGAGGATAACGATGCACGGACAACCATTACTGTTGTTTTTCCTTCTGCCATCCTATGTTTCAGGACTGATCCTTCCATTGACAAAACCAGACGGCAGTGCTGACCTTACCAGCGTTCTGAGTCACGTCACACTTCTCGAACAGACTGTTGACAACCTTCAGAAAAACACTGTTCAGTTACAGACAGATCTGCAGGTAACAAATGACAAGCTACAAACTACACAGACTGATCTACAGACAACGAAGAAAGACCTGCAGAATACACAGACTGAACTAGCCGCAAGTGAGGCAAAGCAACAATCTGCAGATGCGGACATTTTGTCTCTCAGAAATGACGTGTCCACATTAAAGACGGAACTCGTTCTCGTAAAATCAAAACTGCAAAATGTCAGTCCGGTAGTTTCCAGCCCGAATGTGGCTTTGAATGTTTCCATCCTCGATTCTTTGAGTCATGATGTCAAAGCCAATACGGCTGATGTAAAGGCCTTAGGTCTGGAACTGAAATCGGTACACAATGACTTAAACGCCACGGCTTCAACTCTGTTAGGGTTCCAGTCAGATCTTCACAGTTTTAAGTTTAATGTGTCCTCTGTACTGACAACTATTAAAGGGTGATTACGACGACCTAAAGTCTCATGTGGACTTAAATGTGCATAATAAAGTAACCTCGAATTCAGCAAACGTAACGACCCTACAGTCGGACGTGAATGTGTTAGCCAAGTTAGACATCCTGAACACAACAGTGTATGCAGTGCAATCAGAAGCCCGTCGGTTGACGGAAAATATTTCCTCTATGGTACAACTCCTTGAACACAAGCAGCTGGTGGAAAACATGGACACGCAGTCGGTGAAGACTCTGGCACAAGACACGTCCATTCAACTGAAACTGTTGGAGAAAGATGTTAATGCAACTTCCTTTGATGTTGGCCATATCAAACAGAATCTCCACTCAATGGATGCAGATCTCCACGTGGTACAGAATGATGTCACGATGACGCGCTCTGAGATACAGACGATGAAGCAAACCATGTCTGATATCGACAAAAATTCTACTGCTGTGAAACAGGCCCTGGCACAGGTGGCTCAAACTATGGGTAAGATTCTCACTAATTTGGACTTTTTTATTGAAATGCCCACATTTCTTGTTTTTTTATGACAAAGAAACATAGTTTACAGTTGCAATTCATCCCTCAGTCATGCCTGGATCCGCTTATAGCGGTTTAAATCTCAGATACACCCAAACTACAATCATTGGTTGATTGGTATGCATCACATAGGTGTTCGTTGGTTCCACCAAAATGGTAAATGACTATAAATGTTCAGTAGCCAAAATATATATACATGTTAATTTGTTTCTTTGATTTTGTAAGGAATGAAGTGGTGGTACTTGTTTATTTGGATCTAAGTTGTGTCACACAAATCCAGGAGGTAGTGTGTTTCTATCGACTAATTATCAATTCATTAATTTCATTATGAAACTATTATCTGAAAATTAATTTGATAAATATACTTTTCAAAAAAGTAACACAATACTGATATTTTTGTCAATAAAAACAAAATTAGCTGACCAAGAGGTGCAAAATGAAGAGGTTTAATGTGTTATTGTGTCAGTGACAAATTTCCCGGATCAAAATAATCACAAAAAGGAAATACAAACCACAAGTCGGTAAAAACGCGCCCAGTGCATTAACAAAAGAGCCATGGAGCTGCACGCACTACACGTGCATCAGCACTATGAACGGTATTAAAGTACAGGGTTTTTGATTGCCTGGCATCTGCTTCAATCGAACAGTGACAACATGCCAATAATAACAGAAGTGCAAAGAAATAACGTCATCAGCCGCTTGCAGGCCGGGGAATCCCGATCAGCTGTAGCCAGGGTTTTCAATGTAGCGCCCAGCACCATCACAAGGATGTCGGATCAGTTTCAACAGCATGGGTCAACACGTGATCGGCAAAGGTCGGGACGACCAAGAGTCACCCCCGCCCAAAATCCCTACATCCGACTGTGCCACCTACGCGAAAGGACGACCATAGCAACCTCAGTCGCATCCCAAATACCCGGACTGCGCAGAATCTCCGACTAGACCGTACGAAACCGTTTAAGAGCAGCAGGTCTACAAGCAATACGTCCTGTTTGACGCGTCATATTGAGTCGACAACATCGTCAACAACGACTGCATTGGTGTCGTCAACACCGGGTATGACGTCAACTGCGATGACCTCAACTGACGAATCAAGATTTCTCCTCCGTCGAGGGGGTGGAAGAGCACGGGTCTACAGACGTCGGGGAAAACGTTACGCCAGAAACTGCGTTAAGGAAGTGGACAGGTTTTGTGTGTGTAGCGTTATGATGTGGGCGGCTATCTCTCATCATGGCAAGACAGGTTTGGTCCATATCCAGGGCAGTCTTACGGCTCAACGATACATGAACGAAATTCTCCTACCACGCGTCCTCCCAATTGAAGCCAACGGCAACGGTGTATTCCTGAAGGACAACGCTCGGCCGCATACAGAACGGATCACACGAGCCTGTCAACACAACAACAACGTTGATGTTCTCCCCTGCCCCTCCAGATCCCCGGATTTGAACCCGATAGAGCACCTGTGGGATGAACTGGATAGACGGCTACGCCCACGTTAACCACAACCCCAGACGTTGCAGCAGTTGGCTTTTGCGTTGCAGTCCGAGTGGGCTACCATTCCCCAGGATGTGATTTGCATACTCGTCTATTCCATGGGCAGGAGATGTCGGCCGCTATCGATTCCAACGGGGGACATACGCGTTATTGATAATAGCTGACCTTCACCTTGGACTTTTTCTATATACCGATAGCTGAGATGACTAAAATCACCCAGTGTTCTCTCCACAACATTTTGGCTCAATACCTTGTCCGGTTCCTCGTATAAATACGTATATATATATATATGGAAATATATGGAAAGGAAGAACGTGTTGTTCAGTTTACTTATCTGGTCAGTGGTTATATATCATAATATTACATATATACCGTTAACCTATTGTAATGAACGCGCTGGAATGTATGACGTTTTGACAGTGAAAAATTAGAGTCATGGAAGTGTTCAGTGGTGGCCGCCATATATTCGTTTAAATGTATTTGTGAATCATTTCCCTTCCTTAGTTCTCCAGTAATCAACCGTTTAAGTTAATATATAATCTGTTATTTGTTTAGAAGTAAAGGGATGTAAGTAATGAAAAGAAGCTATGATACGTTTATCAGTATTCCAGTTCTGTTAGGTACAGTGTAACTGATAATGGGAAATCAGTCATACAGCACCCGTCTCTGGAACTAACATGTTCTGGGCACAGTGGGGTGATGACGAGGATAACGTTGCTGAGTACGTCAGTATTTATAAGCCGACAATATAAAAGGATGGAAACGCGCCCAGTGCATTAACAAAAGAGCCATGGAGCTGCACGCACTACACGTGCAGCAGCACTATGAACGGTATTAAAGTACAGGGTTTTTGATTGCCTGACATCTGCGTCAATCGAACAGTGACAACATGCCAAGAATAACAGAAGTGCAAAGAAACAATTGCAGGCCGGGGAATCCCGATCAGCTGTAGCCAGGGTTTTCAATGTAGCGCCCAGCACCATCACAAGGATGTCGGATCAGTTTCAACTGCATGGGTCAACACGTGATTGGCAAAGGTCGGGACAAACCCGATGAAAACAATGAGAAAACCATTTCCATACTTATAAGACATCTCAATTGTGTTTATGAATCACTATCAAATAGTGATGATGCCAGGTGTTTGCGAGAAGGCGGGCGTATCCTGCCCAACCGCCGGCACCCGTCAAAAACACATGCAAAGGCAAGTCAATTGTTCATCTGAAAAAACACGGGAACATATAGTTTAAGTCAAACTAGGGAACCGTCCATCCTGTAACGGCGGAAGAAGTAAGGGCCGAGGTCAGAGGAGCAGATGACATATTTGGTACTGGTGGTGTCCAATTGTCGCACATCGGCACTATTTAACCAATCAGCTTTGAGAGAATAATAACCACTGATAGCATTGTTGGTTTTGAACATGCGGTTTATCCTCATTGTTAACATAGGATTAACGGTAACTGCGTTTTCACAAAATAAGGGAGCACTGACGCGACCTGGTGTAAATTGTTCTCTAGTGAATCATATTTTAGCGGTGGGTATTGTAGCATTTGAACTTCGTTTCGAAGTCGTCGGCTACGTCACTTACGTGAAAGAACCAACACGGCCGCCTCAACAACTACGGTAATACCAGGATTGCGTGGGATATCAGCCCAGACAGTGAGGAACCGTTTACGCGCGGAAGGTATTCGCACTAGACGACAAGTTTGAGGTGTCATATTTAACGGACCTGCATCGTCGGCTGCGACGTCAATGGTGTCAAGGTCACAGAGAATGGTCACAACTGCGATGGAGACTACTTTGGTTTAGTGACGAGTCACGTTTTATGCTTTGCCGTGCGGATGGAAGACGTCGTGTTGCACGAAACTGCATACATGAAGTGGACTGATTTGGTGGTGGTAGTGTGATGATGTCGGCAGCCATCTCCTGCACAAGTAGATTTTGCTACAAGTTCTTGAGAATTTAACGGCACAACGTTACACGGATGAGATTCTTCGGCCCCCACCTCCTTCCTATTATGCAACAAACACGTCATTTTCCAACGGACAACAGCCTTTTTTCAAGAATCCCAACATCCAGGTCCTGCCATGGCCCTTCAGGGGATTTATGGGATGCACTGGATCAACGACTGCGTGTACGTCAGTAACAACCACAAAATGTCCGACAGTTGGCACAAGCCCTGCAGGGTGTGGGTGAACATTCCTCCCCAGACCAAAATTCGGGATCTGATTGCTTCCATGGGACGACGATGCCAGTCAGTTTTGGACAGTTTGGTGGCCATACAAGATATTGAGAAAAGATTACCTTGGCCTTGTAATTCTACTGTTCCATGTGTACCATGTGGTACCTGGGTCAATGACAAAGATGTGACAGTTTTCAACAATCGATAACCATCTGTTGATTATTTATATGATATATAAAATATACATCTAAAATCACTTTTGCGGGGGGGGGGGGGGGGGGGTTGCAGGGTAATGTGGCATCAGGTATATATATCCGCCGTCTTGCAATGCTTAATAATTCCCTGTGAAGAAGGCAAGATTTTAGAGACGCAAAGAGGGGAAATAATCAGAATGCATCCCACAGGGTTGTCTTGATGAAATCAATGCTGTGAAGGGAATTCCACGGTCAGGACGACCTCCTGTGACGGTGCAGCGTAAAGACTGGGCACACTGCTTCGGTTGGTACGAAGACAGCAATTTGCAAAGATTCCTCCGACAATGGCTACCCGATCGATGTCTGTGCACCAGAACCTTGAGGTACCACTTCAGAGCAGCAGGAATGGTGTCCGGGAGAGTCATCAAACGCCCCCAAACGCAAATTACCATCAGAGGGTTTAGCACGATGGGCTTGAAATCTAAGAACCTGGCGGAAGAGCCATTGTTTGGATGCCACAGACTGACGAATGAGGATTTGGGGGGCACATGAATAGGGCCTATAAACATCCGGGCAACTGTGTCTTATTTTGGAGGCACGGTAATGATTTGGGGAATATCTCACACGATTGCAAGCTGTACCTGGTCACCATGCAAGACAATCTCACAGGTAATCAGTACCTCCGAGATGTCCTGGATACAGTTGCTACTCTCATTTTGACAACCACCCACTCGCCCTAGGACCTCAGTTCATGGATGATAACGCCAGACCCCATCGCTGCCGGGCAGTGACAACCTACCCAAAAAACAACGCTGGCCCGAAATATGCACCAGTGGATTCAGATCTTGAACATCTTTGCGGTCGTATACAGGCACTAGAATTTACTGTACAGAATCTGCATGGAATGAAAGCAATTTTTCATTGGCAGTGACTTCATTTTCCCCTCAGTAGATCCGACGTCTGACTGGGGTGTCGAGACGCAGGGATGTGACCGTCATCCAGGCACGTGGAGTGTTTACTCGCCACTGAACCTTTGAACTACGGGTGTCATCTGGGGACTCAGTGACGTATTTATCCTGAATTCTACCATGACACTGATTTCAATCTGATTGGTCAAAATCAGTGATCTAATTCCGTTTGATACCGCAAAACTAACATGACCCCCTAAGTGGTCTGTTGGTAGAGCGTTTGACATTTTAAGTTATTTCCGAATATCCCATACGTTTTTGAAGTGTTTAATGATTTGTCATCATGAAATAATATTCTCATTATCTGTTAATTGTATCATTGCTATCATTGTATAACTCTAAGCATCGAAACTGTACCCTAATACATTGGAATTGATGGCAATAAATCTATGCAGTAGATAAACGTGTTGGTATCACTATTCGTTATCCTTTACATTCCTAAAATAATTAGTAAAACTAATATATTACGAGACGTAAATTTCCTGACATGACAAAAATGTATGGAAGGGCAAAACGCACTGGTCAGTGGAATTCAGTTAAATATCATAACTTACATATAGGGAGTAAGATAGAACTATAAAACACCCAAGTAACCTGACCGCCTCTAAGGTCCAGTGGAAGGTCGGTGGTTCGATCCCCTGACTGCGTCATACCAAAATGCGTTAAACAATGGCACCTGTTACCCTGTCTGGCGTTCAACATTAAAGGGATGAAACAAGAACGTGTAATAAATGTTCAAGATATAACCTGTTTATAGTAGTTACACAAGTACGTCCTAAAAAGCATAGATGTGATGAAAATAACTGTATATACTTATATCAGTCATGTCACATTATGTTTCTTTGTTTGTTGTTTAACGCCGCACTCAGCATTCTTCCAGCTATATGACGACGGCATGTAAATAATCTAGCCTGGACGAGACAATCCATGGCCAGTGATTCACATCATGACCATCGATCTACGCAAATGGGATACGATAACATGCATCAACCAAATCAGCGAGCATCAACCAAATCAGCGAACTTAGTCGCCTCTTACAAGCATGGGTTGCTGAAAACCAATTCTGACCCGGATCTTCACGGGTCTCTTACATAATGCAAAGCATAAATGATTAGTTACATTGTGTTATTATATTATATTCTTTTACTTCAGCTTCAAAGACCAGAGACGTGGCATTCCAGGCATATTTAAGCGATACACAAACTGTCCAGTCAGACACTTCTCTGATATTTCACCGTGTCTTCCTCAATTCTGGGTCTGGATACAGCAGCACAACAGGAACGTTTACAGCACCTGTCTCTGGAACCTTCATGTTCTGGACACAATTGGATGTTGACCAGGCAGATGTTTCTTTAACCGTCTCTATCCAAAAGTCGGGAACTTCAATAGCAACAGGATGGGTGAAAACAACAACAGATAGTGATGATGAAGTTGTTTCTGTTATAACCGCCAGTCATGTAACGGCTGGTGAAGAAGTGTGGGTCCAGGTCAATTTAACAGCTTTGATATATGGTGCCTCATATTCTCACTTCGGTGGTACTATCTTGTCTGTAGACTGACTTTATCAGCTTGGGGAGAAACATCAACACACTGCCAGACAGCACTGTATGGTATGAACGGCTTATCCTCATTGTGAACGCAACCGACCAGGGATGAATATTGTAGCTGAGTGATCCTCGATATTCAAGTATATCACATCTCCATTGTATTTTGATAAATACCACTGGACACATTCTCAACTTTAATCATTTAAGTCCAAACTCGAATATGTAGCTCTCCAATCAACTATAATGTTCAATAGTTCTTGCATTCAATCATCTTCCCGAGGCAAGAGAGTTTACTGACTTTAAAAGTCCAGTTTCCACCCTTGCCGAACTAGGCTGGAATTACTGGGCTCGATCGTAGCGCCACCAGTGGCTATTACCAGCTATGTCCCTTTTAAGTCTCTCCTATGGACCAATCAGATTCCACCTCTCGTATCACTTGCGTTTGCTTCACACAAAATGGTGGCGCCCGGTCAGGACGATCTGATCGATAATCAATATCTATATTGTGATAAAACGTGTCTTACATCGCGAAATGCATCAAATCACGTGAGCACCTTTTTAAAAACATGAAAAAAATTAGAAATATTTGCTGGCAACGTGTGGGCGGTGCACATGCTTTGCAAATCCTGCAATCGACCGAAATCTGAACAACAGTTAACGAACCGGATTTCGATTTCGGTGCGCGATTTTGATTGGACTATGCATAGACTCGTTAGCCCAGCCAAAATGTAACTCCATAATACCAGCCTAGTTCGGCAAGGGTGGAAACTGGACTTTTATAGTCAGTTAACTCTCTTGCCTCGGGAAGATGGCCTTCAATACGCTCCAAACATCTTTTCCATCTAAACGTTTATAAGACTCTTTCCTTCGCTACCAAATATTCTAATATGCTTTTAGTATAGAACGCTTGAATGTAGATCAATGCCGAGGGTTCGTGCAGAAGTATCATTTTGATAATAAAGAGAAATGTAGATGGTGATCAAAAGAAACGATGGTGGCGAATGGATCACGGGTTTTTATATAATTGAATGTAAATTGAATGTAAAACGCTGGATACTAGAGGAAGGGGATAAGTTGAATTATAGTTAACATAATTTCCAATAGTCAACTTCCATTTTCAGCAATATTTCAGCAGCTCCAGCCTTTGGTGTCTACATTTCAAAACTTTTGGGGTACAGTCAAGCATGCTCCTTCTACGAAGATTTCAAGAGCGTCATACGACTCTTGTTCAGAAGTTGTTTCATCACGGCTGCAACATGCAAAGCCTTAGTGGGGCTTTCAAAAGTATTTATGATAGACATGTGGGGAACATTTCCAAATTTGACACATCAGTGACAAGAAATATGAACGATGCAATTCCCTATTTTGACTTCTACGATATCTTCTCGTGTATTTTCAGGCGAACAATTGCCTTGCCTTGTCATGTTTTTGTGACGGGTGTTACCTTCGGGTAAGGATATGCTCACCTTTTCGCGAACACCTGGTATCATCACTATTTGATAGCAATTCAAACACACACGCTCGTGATAGTCTGAATTCGGGCTTTCAGCAGAGATTTCTTATCATTATGGAAAGAGTTTGGGCGCTTTTATTTACAGAATTAAGGTCCCCTGCATAATGCTGAGCATCAGAAAATCATGCTGAGTAACAATGGTTGTGAAGCACATTTGCAAGAAAAATATGTAATGTTTCAATACCTATTTTTCCCAACAATGCAATTTCGCGAACGCCGGGTACCATTACTATCTGATAGTGATTCCTGAATAGATGCTCATGATATAGTCGGAATCGTACAATGGACATTTCTCATGATTATGGAAAGGGTTTTGTCGCTTACATTGATTTCAATTATTAGTGTCATGCTGCCTTTATTTAAGGATTATCAAATGCACACACCACGCACAATTATTATAAACACACACACACACACCACATTCTTAACATACAATACTTCATGCCCCCCATACCACACATTCAGCCACACGAGTATGTAAAATAGCAGTCACGGAGTGAGTGAGCCGGGTTATATTACGGATGGCTAGCTTAATATCGGAGGACAGATCAAAGAAATCAGTTCAAAGGAAAATGTGTTTATTTCCAGATCAACATCCAATACATAAAAACATATGAAACAGCCTCAGATAGAATGAGTGCATAAAATTAACTTCCCATGTCAGAAACATTTTACTTCTTTTACAGATCTAGACTGGTGGTAATGGTGGTAATGCGATATAAATGTCATGTTGCTTTGGCACACTAAGTGGTTCATTATCAACCTTAGTAAACAGAAGCAGATATGTACATGTATATAATTTTTATCAGATTCTTAGTACATTTTAATATATTTGCGTAATAGGTTGTATGATATATATATATATATATATATATATATATATATATATATATATATATATATTTCACCTGAACAAAAAACAGGTATAAAGTGTGTTTGTACAGTGAACGAATCAGCACACTACAACACATTCGTCTGGATAATGGTAAATAATCCTTCCATGGCAAAAAAAGGTAAATACAAACTTGATATTCCCTTGTGGCGATTCGGAATCACAATAGATCCCCACTGCCTCCCAAAGTTGATCGAGTGGTCATAAATCAGACCCCGGCGGGTTTTGTTTCTTCGTTACCCAAAGTCGTGCATCTTTTTGTTCGTCTTATCAACCATTGTTATTTTCGGCCACTGACTCGACAAGGTACATGTTGCCGTGACATAGTTGGACATCATAAAACAAGTTATTTAAAACCATAATATCCAACACAAGTAAATGTTAGTTTCGTATCGGGCATATTTATATTGAGAAAGAAACAATACTGTAAAAAAATCGTAATGCCCACAACAGTATAATCGTGGCTGTTGCTGTCCAACCAAATGACCAAAAGACTTTTATTCGCATAAATTAAAAAACAACTTTTTTAGGAATGAGATAAATGCAGTTACTTAAGTGTTTATTGATATTTTGACAAACATTGAGTGAGTTTGGTTTAACAGCATTCCAGTTATATCACGGCGTGTCAGCTTTATGTGGGGGAAAGCTCCAAGTGATGCAGGTCTCTCTTTCGTGAAAACCCACGAGCACGGGTATGGTGCTGACAAACCTAGAAACATTATTGGGGCAAACCGGGATTGGAGCCCACAATCAAAGGTTTCTGGCGTGCCCAAGGGACGCAACTTTGCACAGCGAATCGCAGCGCCTTAGACAAAATAAAATAATCGTGAGTTAGTGGCACGAATTGCAGAACCTTCCCGTGACAAACAATCACAGTGTAACGGATGCGCCTATTTTGTGATATTCATCTCACTATCGTTGTCCATGACGATGATGTTACATGGAAAACATAAGAAAGTCGTAGAGAATACTGCTGTAAAATATCTCTGGGCAGCCTTTACCACTCGTTATCTTTCAAAATAGGATGACCATTTCATAAAGCGTGGAACGATTAATCTTAAATAGAAATATGAATGTTAAATTAAAAGATTGTATTCCCAAAAGTAGGGCGTGCACTTTCGTTTTATAAATCAATTCAGATTTAAATAAAGAGTTGACCTTTTAATGAACAATATATACATACATCTCAAACAAAAACAAATACCGATGATCAATTAATTCGATTAACAATATACCTGAAAACACAGCATACAGTTATACATCCGTAACAAATCAATAAAGGTCAGTCAAACATTTGTCACAGTGACGTCATAGCAGTTAGTGTCAGTACTTACAAGCAGTAGTAAGTCAAAACAACCACACATAGTACAGTGATAGCTTCGTCATCTCATTCATTAATTTGATAATCTCTGGACAGGATGTCCCTCTATGCCCCCACCACGAAAGTTAATGTACGATGCGAATACAGAAACAGCAATGGTATAAATATACATGTGTATATAAATTTAGTTATTGGGCATGTGGTTAATCATTTCTGTGTAGGCAGAGTTAGTCACTGTTTACTGACGCTTCAAGTGTGAACTGAATCCAAATCTGACATTTCCACATGCATGAGACCGTGTATGTACAATGTACATGTATATTCATACATACAGCATATATGTTATCGTTATGAAAGGCAGCGAGTGAACGCTGTATAATACTGTGTAGACATAAACATCCTTTTAAAAATACTCTTTGATTGTGAAATTTGATTGATGGCTCGCCAATTTGTAGGTATAGCTGCAATAACATAAACAGTATGTACATCGGCCGCAGAACCGACTCTCAAAACACCTCTTCTCTCTTCTTTGCCATGGCCTTTGCTTCTCCGCTGTTCTTCACGAAATCCTGAAAAAAGTTAATACTCATTTCATTGGAAGAATGGGTTGGAACTGTACAGCTACGCCCAGATTGTCGGATTAGTTGAAACATGTCGATGTTATGAGCTAGTATGACTGCTAACAGACTGAGGACTGTTTATAACAGAGTCTGGACCAGACAAACCAGTGATTGGTATTACGAGCAATGTCCCATGTCGTTTGGGTACTCATCGTACCACACCCATAGATTGCTGGGGGACCAAGTCCAGCACGGAATCCTCACGGGAATGTGTTATATTTTGTGTTGTTCTGCCCTGATTCTCCCAGCTATCAATACGGAACCTATTGAGAATGGAAGCTACCAGTTTAACTCCTAAATTAAACGAACAATGATTGTAGATTACAAAATGTTGAATCTTCAATGAGAAATTGTCCATTGTGTACTTTAGGAACGGAAAAAGAGTACCATTCCAGTTTGCTATGTTTTTAATGTCTTGCGAATGAGTGAGGAAGTTTGGTTTTACGCCACTTTTAGCAGTATTCCAGCAATATCACGATGGGGGACACCAGAAATTGGCTTCAATCATTGTACCCATGTGGAGAATCGAACCCGGATCTTCGGCGTGATGAGCGAACGCTTTAACCACTAGGCTACCCAACCGCAGGTAGTGCCTTACGAAATATATTTTCCTATATATGTATATTCGTAAAAAGTAGGCATTTCCAATTGTGTATACAATTCAAATGATAAGGATGATTGATGACCAGGGATTAATTGAAAACATTGTCAAATATATTCATAAGGCAAACGTTTTTAGAAATGCTCTGCTTGATACTTGATGTCCACTACCGAAATATTTCATGAATTTCCCACTGAATATAGAGTTGGTGGAATAAAAGGTCTTTATTGTTGGCAGAGATGGATGGATCAGTATTTAGTTACCATCAGACCCTTGCTCATGTAGTAAGGCCGCTGAACACCGTCGTTCCTGTCGCAGTCTTCCACAAAACACACAAATATGGCGTCAATGGTCATCTGGATAGAAAAGTTGAACATATGCATCAGTGAATACTTCAGAAACAGTTGATCTTCCAAGCAAGAAGACAACATCCGAAATATTGTTATTAGTGTTAGTGTTAGTGTGTTAGTGTGTTAGTGTGTTTGTGTGTGTGTGTATGTGTGCGTGCGTGCGTGCGTGCGTGCGTGTGTGTGTGTGTGTGTGTGTGTGTGGCTGCTTGTACTGGTACGGCTTAGCTCGAGGCAGGGTAACAACAAGTGCTAGTCCATATACGTCTTTTGGTATGACACACCACTGAATTAAAAAGAATTACGGAACTAGTAAATATGTTGTATTGATATAAAATATATTTTTCTGATAAATATATCTTGGAAACCACATATATGCGGGGGAAAAGCCATGAAGCAGCCCTTTCGGCATCGTGTTCATAAAGGTCGTGTGCACAAACAATTTCTGAAACAATAGGTATCTCCCTTACCTCATACACCGCCAGGAAACAGCTGGAGATGAAGTAGGCGAAGATGCACGCGACAGTGATGGGGACCCAGGTGTAGTGGACGTCCGTTCTGTCCTGAAACAAGAAATCAATATCACAATCTCGTAAAGTGTTCTTCAAGAAACGAACCCTATATATATTTAGATAATACTGATGAACAATTGACATGTGCGCTTGCGCCATGGGGGACAGATCGTGCTGTATTTGCTTTGTATATTTCCACTCACCCTAAACAGTTCGATGCCTACAACGGCAACGACAGCGACTGTACCCACTTTCCCCAGAAAGAGGAGGAAATCTCCCACACAGTTTATCGCTGCCACGCGGAGAGCGTTATTGACGATCAGCAGGAACGCTTGCTTGGCTGCCTTACAGAAGCCATAGCCATTTATTGCTGAAACATAAACCAGTGTACATACATGAAAATACCTAAAGTATGGTCCGTTTGTTTATTGTTTAACGCCGCACTTTTATATAGCCATATTCCAGCTATATGACGGCGGTCTGTAATTAAATAATCGAGTCTGGCGCATCATGAGCATCGATCCACGCAAATGAGATCGATGACATGCATCAACCAAGTCAGCGAGCCTGACCACCTGATCCCGTTAGTCTCCTCTCAGGACAAGCATAGTCGCCTTTTACGGCAAGCATAGTTGCTGAAGACCTATTCCACCCCGGATCTTCACGGGTCCCCACGGTCCATGTTTACACCAGAGCAAATACGGAGATGCTTGGATGTCCAGCGAATATATTTAAAAACTTGAGAACAAAATATTTGTTCCAGTCTTATCGGGGACAACTATTTGCTGGAAAATATGCAGTTCATTGCAACGCCAAACCACATTCACTTACACAGACGTGTATACTTCAAAGTGTAGATCGTCGTATTAACACGTATTCAATTTGATAGCTACAATACATCTCGGCAGTCTGTAAACAATCTGATGAAAACAGACTAACAAATGAATAAAAGCACAGGCCAGGAATATTTAACTAATTGCCGGGCAAAAGAAAATATACACTAGAAAATTGGATTTGACCAAAAAATTGCAAACGTTATCGAATCGTGACTAGGCTGAAAACCAGTCACCGATACACTGCAAAAACGACCCAAAACACAACTATTATACCCATATCAAATACATGACCATCGAATAATGTTTTTATTTATTCAATTTTTAGCCACAGTCCAACATGGGTGTATTCTTTCTTTTGACCGATAGTTAATGTTGATATTTCGCTATACAGTTACATATATATACATCTACTGTTTTGAGTGCATTTATTACTTTCGTTGGCATCAAACTCTTAACAGCAATGAGTTACCTATTTGTATATACGCATTGTCGTTCAGAAACTTGAGAAACTTCTCAAAACACCATAAGCAGCATCCAAGGCACTTGAGGAAAAACTTGGCCACAAAGTTCTCAGCTCCTTTCAATCTGAGAAAACAGTAAAAAGAAAAGTTGTATAAATAAATCAATGAACGCCACGATGTTTATGTTAATCCTATCAGTTGGTGTGCTCAATAGAGACACATCATACGCAGAATTGTCAACTCATTTTTCATCCATCATTCTTATTTAGCACCATTAAACACTTTTTAGCCCTGTTACAACTCCTATACCAGAACGATTTCCTCCCGCATCAAGCTAACACGCCGTGATATAACTGTACTACTGTTCACAGTGGCGTTAAACACAACTCACTCTCTCATTCACTCAATCGTATTAGCCGTATATTGAAAACATATTGAGTGAGTTTGATTTGTCTCTGCTTTTAGCATTATTCCTGCAATATCACGGCAAATATACACACAGTATACGGCCCTTGTTGGGAATCGAACCCGAGCGTTTGGCGTGACGAGCGAACGCTTCAACCAGTACGCTACCCGAACACCCTCATTGTAATGATAACTTAAGTAAAATACACCTGGGTATTTATGTATAACTATTACACACATCAAACATGACCATATTATACAGACAGTGGCGAAAACAGACTGAAATCACTCACCGTCCTTCAATAAAGGACAACCCAAGTCGGATGAACTTCACAATGGCGATGATGAGCGAGCCAATCGCCACTGAGCCCAAATGGTATCTGAAGGGGAAACGTCATAATGTGATAAAGATCGATTTCCATTACATGGGCAAACAAGTGACTGAACAACTATTATGAACAACATCCCACACCATCGGGGTAAAGATTCAGTTCGAAAATTGGTCCTGTCATATATTTTTTTTAAGAGAGTTATGGCCCTTGCTCCGTGCTTTTTAAGTGAGTGCATACTGTGTGAAATGGGGACATGTTTTCTCAGAAACTACTGAAGTTACTTGAATGAAAGTTTGCATGGTTATATAAGAGATACTTGTCAAGACTGAGTTCGAAAATTGGTCACGTCAATTATGTTTACAGAGTTATGGCCCTTGATCTATGTTATTTTACTTGTATAGCGTGTGCAATGGGGACAAGTTTTCTCAGACACTATTGAAGTTAGCTTATCTAAGAGATACTTATCCAGACCGATTTATTTTTTTCCAGGGAAGAGTCCTTTTCTGTGTATTAATTTCACATTTAATCATTTGTTTCTGAAGACATAAGACCGCCTCTGTGGTCTAGTGGTAGAGCGTCCGCCCGGGGAATGGAAGATCCGGGTTTCGATCCCCAGCCTCGTCATACCAAAAGACGTTAAAAGATGGTACTTGTTGTTACTCTGTCTGGCGCCCGGCATTAAGGGCCTAAAACAAGGACTGGTCGGCTCGGAGTCAGTATACTGTGTCTGAGTGGGGTATTCATGTTAAACTGTGACATGGTATCTCAGTGGGGTAGCACTATAAAATCGGCATCATTCCGGACTAATCTTGGACGCGACGTTAAACCCCATTTCACCTCACCTAACCTCACCCCATTTCACCTAACCTCACCCCTGATGACGTAAGCGGCCCAAGTGCATATCTCGTCTTATTGCTTTAGATGACTCTTTTTATAATGTAGTTCATATTCACTACTATATGAACAAACATAATTCTAATGTGCCCCATGGCGGGACAAAGTGTTAGTGTCGTTGTTACTTTTGCTTCAACAACCAGATCAACATGTTATCCTAATATGCTATGCGCATACAAAATGTCATCAGATGACAGAGAGGTATTAAGCAGAACGTACCTGACCAGTCGTGAGATAGAGAGTGCTATTGGCCATCCAAGATTGGACTTGTCTCTGAAAATAACGATTGCATCCAATTAATACAGGTTAGTAGAAGACAAATCAATGTGTTTTAGGCTTGATCTGTTGGTTTGTTGTTTAACGCCTCACTCAGCAATATACCAGCTACATGGCGGTCTGTATAATCGAGTCTCAGTCACAGTGAGCATCGATCTACGATACGATGACATGCATCAGACAAGTCAGCGAGCTTGGCCAACCCGGTTCGTTAGTCGCCTCCAACGATATTCATGGGTTGTTGAAAGCCAATTCTAACCAGGATATTCACGGGCCTTACGGGTTATGTCATAAAGAACTCTTTATTCCGTTTGAGTGAGAGAGTATGGTTTTACGCCGCTATAAGCAATAATCCAGCAATATCACGGCGGGGACACCAGAAATAGGTTTAACACATTGTACCCATGTGGGGAATAGAACCCGGGCCTTCGGCGTGACGAGCGAACACTTTAACCACAAGGCTACCCCGCCGCTGAAAGGCAATAGCTGCAATCGTACACATAACGTGTTGATAGATGCATGGTGACTGAAGAATCGATGTACAAATGATCTCAGCATCATTCATCCTCCTAATCACGACACACATTCTAGCCTAGCCCTTCCGCAACCATAATTGCCGTCATAATTTATGGAAATTTTGATTGTGATATACATGTGTCACAAGCCATGGGTGCGGCAACGTATCAGGATTGAGTGAAAATATCCTATGCTTTAACGTGTAGAAGAGTTGCCCAATTACATCAACACATGTATACTAAGACCTAATGCTTGTCGTAAGAGGCGACTAACGGGATCGGTTAGTCAGGCTCGCTGACTTGGTTGGTGCATGTCATCGTATCCCAATTGCGTGGATCAATCACTGGATTGTCTGGTCCAGACTCGATTATGTACAGACCGCCGTCATATAGCTGGAATATTGCTGAGTGCGGCGTTAAAAGACAAACAAACAAAAACATATTAAACATCAATGGATGTAACGATCTTTACGAAAACTGATGATAGAGTTAAGTAAGGATAAGAATTCATGGATGAACAACTTCTTTATTACAATTAAGAGCGACGTTTCGGTGTAGGTTCTAACACCGTTATCAAGCAAGTGATTTACAGAGTGTAGTAGGCAAGTATATATACAAGTAGGAGGCAATGTTTATACAGTTGAGTAGATATTGTTATACTCTACTGTATAAACATTGCCTCCTACTTGTATACATACTTGCCTACTACACTCTGTGAATCACTTGCTTGATAACGGTGTTAGAACCTTCACCGAAACGTCGCTCTTAATTGTAATAAAGAAGTTGTTCATCCATGAATTCTTATCCTTACTTAGTACTCCAACTTCTAAATGCCTATCAAAGAAGATGATAGAGTTCTCTGTCTTTACCGTCATATATAAAATCTTATAAATCTACAAAATAACACCAGTAAGTGGGTTTGGTTTAACACTTCTTGGAGTGATTGAGTAGGGTTTTATGCCGCGTTTAGCAATATTTCAGTAATATAACGGCGGGGGACATCAGAAATTGGAGATTGAGAATCGAACCTGGGTCTTTGGCGTGACGAACGAACGCTTAGACCACTCGGATACATCACTGCCCCAACACTGCTCTGAACAGTAATCAAGTTATACCACATCGTTTAATGATCGTAGAAGTTTACCGCCTTGTGAAACCAATAGACACATGAAGGACGGTCATTCTTTAAATTCGAACCCACAATTGCCGCAACCTAGGAGACACAACTGTGGACAGTGAATACACAAAGAAAGTAGTCTTCGTGTCTGGAAAACGTACCTGGTGAAATACCAGACTGCCACAGCTCCAGACACGGCGAGTCTCTGACAAGCGAAGATGAACTGGGTGATCCAGAGAAAGCCCAGGATGTAGTAGGCTATCAGGTACTGGATAGAGAACAGACAAGCGTCAGTTAGTATTACATCGCTGTCAACAACATTGCCATCGGTCGGTTAATAACCGAGCACGATCGAGGAACACGCTTGATGTCCACTGGCTCTTAACCTAACCATGAAGTACATAGACCTGAGTCAATGGAGGACCGAATTGCTTGCTCACATACATGAACTGTTAAGAACTATAGCCATTGAAATTCATCTTCCCGAGGCAAGGGAATTAACCGACTATAGACGTCCAGTTTCCTGTTGAATAACTTATTGTAATTTCAATAGTTCAAGTGTGAGGGAGTTCGGTTTAACGCCGTTTTGAACGGTATTTCAGTCATACCGCGGTGTGCCAGCTTAATGTGGGAGGATATCCACATGTGATTCAGCTCTTAGATGTTTGGCACCTTGATGAAACCCACGAGCATGGTTGGTGCTGCCTAACCAAGAACACAATCAGGGCGAATCCGGGAGTCGAACGCACCAAGTTTCTGTTCTGTAAGAAATGATGAACCTTATTATACTGGACGCTGTTATCATAAATAAATGAAACTTATATACCTTTAATGTTTCGTCTTCTTTGTAGCTGACAACGCCTGCTGAGTTGGCGACGGGGTGCTCTGTGGTGGTAATAATATAGAATCAGGGTATGCATTGATGTATGTAATGCATTATATACATCCTCTATCATCCTTTCATCGTGATGTCAAGTAACCCAAGTACAAAGGAAAAGGAAATTATCAACCGTGAAGTATTATTCAATTGAAAACAATGCAGGTTATTGTCCTAAAAGCGTCTATCGTTATCGCAATGCGGTTTGTTTTGTTTTCTATTTCATGGACATTCCATTAGCAAAATTTGTCCAATGGAGACTCGAGAAGAAGAAATAGTGAATGAGTGATTGAGGTTTTACGCCGTTTTTAGCACTGTTCCTGCAATATCATTATGGAGATATTGGCTTCACATATAGTATGGTAATTGAGCCTGGGCCTTCGGCGTGACGACTGGACGCTTTAACCATTAGGCTACCCCAAACGACGTCATTGATTACATGTCCATGAGAGCGTGTATATGTTTTTGAGCCATGACCTATGGTTATATTTCGGAATGTCGACATGAACAAATCTCCCACTCACTTGCTGTCACAATGTAGAGGAATGCATACACCATGCCCGCCGTCACACCCCCGGCGATGATCAGTGTCTGCGAAAAGGCAGTAGTAAATATTCGAAAATTGTCACTTGATGAATTACATTTAAATATTTCTACGAAGAGCAACCAGCTGAGTATGTAAACACGTGCTTATGAGTGTATGGGTGAGTTGGGTTTTACGCCGCGTTTAAAGGTATTCCAGTTACATCACTGCTTATCAGCTTAATGTGGGAGGAAAGCCCGAAGTGATGTAGGTCTCAGACTATTACCACTTTAGTAAAACCCACAAGCACGGATATGGTGGTGACACACCTAAAAACATAATCGGAGCTGACCGGGATTCGAACTCACAATCATAGGTTTCTGGCTTACCCAAGGAACGCTCAGCGAACCGTGCGCTCACATGATTATGATCGTCGGAATCGTACAATGGATTATGATTTTAGCAAATATTTCTTATGGTTAAAGAAATGGTTTTGCCATTTTCATTTACATCCGCAGATTATGTGTATCAGAAAAAAGGTATTGAATAAGAAATGTATTGATGCCGTGTTTGAAATTTGTTTCACATTTTCTTGCGATAATACTTTGGATTTATAGCCTTGGATGGGCTATTGTCTAAATTTCTTGAAAACCATCTAGCCCTAGAGTCGAGTTTAATTGTTATCGATACATGATATCAACCTTCAACAGAGTCAAACCCCATTATGTGACAGTATTAACAGGGAATGTTCTGGTAGGATATGCTTGTGTGTGTGTCTGGCGTTTTCTACACAGATAATAGTTATTGCGTTTAGTCATATCTAACCTTTTCTTTTGGAAAAACAAAAATGCAACACAGTATTCTACATTTAGAGAAGACTGGAATTTAACATAAAAAAATGTCTTAAGAATTATGCCCATTTTTAATGAGGTAGTTGAATAATCGTTGACTAGATTTGACAGGATATCATTGCTTGGATCTATTTATTCTATGACTGGAGGTGTATTTACGTTACACTTACCATAAAAGGCATCAGCAGGGCGAAGGGGACTTTGGCTATGGCTTTTCCAGCTTCTCGAAACAGTTGGACAACCTTACAAAACATTGTATAGTAGACATGTATGGTCAGAGTAAATGCATACAACTCTGTATACTTGGACTCAGATTAATGGAGTCGGTTTGTCGGGTTTAACGCCACTTTAAACACTATTCCAGTTATATGGGAAAGCCCGAAATGATGCAGGTCTCTTTTACCACTTTGGTGCAACCAACGAGCATGAAACATAATCTGGGAGAATCGGGATTCGAACCCACAATCATACAACTCTGCACAGCGAATTGCGGCGCCCAAGACGACTGGGCCACCCGTGCCCCTAGATTAATGGAATGAATCCGGGATCGGCGGCATGTTCTCTTTCAAGGCAGATCTTATAGACATCAAACATCGCAAACTGATGTCACAGCAGTAATGACGTCATGTGATATTACGTCATATTGGGCATTGCGTAATACGAAATTGGTCAGAGACGCGGCAGAGATGTCACAAACAGTTGAAATGTATTTATTTGCATTTGTACAGCAGTGACAGTGTTTGAAGATTGTTTTGTAGTTCTGAAAAGATATATCAGGGTACTTACCAGCTTGATTCGTTTTCTCAGTACCAGTAAGATCAACAGAATTATGACCTGAAATAAATTTGAAAGAAAATGGTGTAAGAAGACAAAAAGATGCAAGAATAAGCATAATCATATTTCTCCATACCACATGATAGCTATGCTAGGGTCGTGTTCGGCAGTTGTATAAAGAGCAATACCACTATAGATTGCAGGTCGTGATATATTTATCATACCCTTAGAAATATCCGAGCTCATAAAATGTGTACGTGCCAGTGTATTGTTTATGTCATCCGGACGCCATTGTTGACGTCATTCAGTTTTTATTGTGACGTAAGTCGGAACGAGGTCACACTAGAAATGACGTCATAGCTGAACATGGTTAACGTCATTCGACAATTGTGTGTTTTTAAGACGGCGATCGTGATCATAGCCTTTTTCTAAAGAGGAGCTCAAAGGGATTAAAAAATAATGGGCAATAGAGAAATTATAACACTCGCACGTGTCTTGTTCGTGAATACAAGAATTCTGACACCCATCCTCGTATAATAATATCTATAGTTGTGCAGATTGTGAATTATTGGAAAGTTGGAAAGTCCTGTGCCCCGTTCCACAAAGCGATTGTTGTGCTAAGCCGATCGTAACTTCCATACTTTAACATAGACTTACGACTGCCGTAGCGCTACGATCGCTTTGTCGAACGGTGAGGTGAGGTGAAATGGGGGTTAACCCCCTGGATGCCACAGGGACATATATGTCCTTCCTCTACAACCCTCACTTTGAAGTCGAATAAAATCCAAAATACATCACCCCCACAAATACACTTCACAGTTTTGAATAAGGTGGGAAATTCCCTATTCTGTGATATCATCCAGTGGCATTTTAGGCCATGCAAGAGTACTGAAAATGACCTCTGAAAATTAGGTACATCGAAAATGTCGCCATTTTTTACACATTACTAAATCACCACTCACGGCGTTATTTACAGCATGTTTTGAAATCTAAATTTCGGATATTTTTTCGGATATATGAATTTCAAAAATAGCATGTTAGTGATCACGGGTATCTGTCCTTTATGAAATCACCAATGATCATTCCAAAACGTCTCCGATAACCCTAGAATCGTTTCGAATGTTTTGGAAAATACGCGAACACGAACGCCGAAGTAACATCACGTATATTTCAAACTTAGCTGCGATACACACATCCTTGAATTCCTCATACATTTTAGAATCAAATGACCAATGATCTTTGTCACCAATACAAAGTGGCTGGATGAAATCAAGCAAAATAAGTAAGGTGTGAAAACGAACGCTGTGCTCGAAAAACAGCACTGGTTTGAAATGTAAACAAAGCAAAATACAGATTTTACACAGTGTAGCATTTTCTCCTATTTTGAGTTATCCATTCGTCTATTCGTTCAAGATATTGGCTCAACATGTTCAGAATATGCAAGGGAAGAGAATCGTAGGAAGAATTAGGGAATTTAAAATAGATACATTTTCATGATTTGATCTTTTCAACAGAAATTGTCAAAGTTGCCGTCCTGTGTGACGCCATGACTGACGCAAAATCACGCACAATGACAACGGTATTTATCGCAATTTCTGACTATTTTCGTTGGTTTCAATGAAAATTATTACAACAAATAACAGTACATAGATTGTCAGAATGTTTCTGACTACTTACATGTCACATTTATGTATATACGACCCCTGAATCAACGAAAGTCCCCTCGTAAAATCCCGCGTACTGATGACAGTGAACACGCCATTTTGTAAAAGTCGGTCACCGGTAGTGATGTCATACGTCAACATTGTTGTACATATTTGGTAATTTCTTTGAGGTGAAGGTCCTTGAATGAGAGTGCACACGATCATTGTATCATGCTGTTTACAGTTTCAGTTATGATGTAGATTTTGCACATCTTTTATACATTTTTTCACACAATTATTTTCACTTTGGATATTTGTCAATGTTCAAAATGGTATCATACGTAAATATAGGCCACAACATGTATGAACGAACCTTTGATAATCTCCTGTTTGTTTGAACATTGTTTACATAAAACTTGATAGGTTTATAGTGTCGAGTACGATATTTCTTTCCTTTGGACAAGTGTTACAAGATGAAGTGTAACTGCAGCATTACGTATTTCTTGTGATGTGTAATAGTCAATATTATAAGTTCATATAACCAATGTCCATGAATAGCCGTTTCATTTTATTTTATAACTAAAACTGAATATATTAACAATATGGATAATATTATTCGTTAAAATATATGCACACATTGCTGAAAGAATTGTCTTGGTCTTGGAATTGTTTTTTTTTATGTCGTTTGATACACAGAACAGTGATATCCAACAATTCGCCAGGTGCGCGTTAGTCACAAACAATTTACGAATTATTCCTCTCGTTTTGCATTGAATAATCAGTGGGTTCATTCTTTTTTCAATAGTGTGATCACAGGATATTAAACTGTTTACTTTATTTCTCCAGGAATTGTAAAAAGTATAAAAACAAAACCCATGCCATGTACCCTGTTGGTTCAACCTTATACGATTATCCTGATAATTCTATACCAATAGAGCTTTCTTCGCATCTTTTATTGTGTAATTCTGAGACGAGATGAAGAGAAATAATAACATAATAATGAACAAATATATGTCCAATATTGAATATAATTTTGGTTGTTTTGAAATATTCTTTTGTGTATTTCATTGCGTAAATTGATGCCAAACAGGTGCGTGTCTTGTCCAATTAAGACACACGATAAACAAGCTAATTGTTAACATATTCAATACATTATTTACTTGGTGAAAGCAGTCATTTTATGTTGTGTCGAAAAAGCGTCAAATTCCGTTTTACACATCGAGATTTTCCATATCATGAACGAAAATAAGGGGAGATATATATTAATCAAAATACCAGTATCGTCTTTCTCCGACGTTATGAAAGACATAAAACCAGCCATGACGTCAAATAGAATGGTGTTATTATTTGGGTATTTCATTACATTTGATGATAAGGCTCGTGCTCCATTAATAATGATGCAACATTAGTCAAGTTACACTTACACATTCAGGAGAATGTTTGAATCTAAGGACTAAGTTATAGGTTGGATAGGGCCATCCATTTCTCTATTACCTCTTTTTTATGAAGTACGATTTCATCATTTCTTATGGGGTTTTTTTAACAACTAAACGTATACAGTTTCTTTATCGATATTTGTGTTGGAATAGTTTGGTTCCTCGTGAACAAAACACCACAAAAATATATTATCCTTACCCACAGCTAATTCTCACCAAGTGACCTGAGTTACAATAAACTAGTGCTACGCTTAGCGGAGTTATGCCCCCTTTCTTTGTACGTGTGTAACCTCTCTGTCGCCTTTTGACGTCATAGAGAAAAATCAGTTTTCGTCATTTACGGCAAGCTATTTTTGAAACTCCATTTGATATATAGCTATGTCGTTCAGATATTAGGCAGTATTTTGTTCGCTCACAGATTCCGTAAAGCTTCTAAATTAAAAAAATCGTCGCACAGTACTTTTATCGGTGTACGATAAAAAGCGGAGAAATTTACTGTTTTTCAAGGGAGAAAAAAATCTCGGACAACACTTAGAAGTGTATTTTTGTAAAACCGGTTTAATATTTGCAGTTAACTTTACACCGTCAAATAGGAAATTTAATATTCTCCACCTTTATAGCCAGAGGAAGATCCAGTGCCGCGTGAGCGCAATTCTCGCACAACCTTCACTTTTCCGATCTTAGGAAAATGTGCGTCAGAAAAAAAACTCGGCATCCAGAGGGTTAACGTCGCGTCCAAGATTATTGCACTTATACAGCGACGTGCATGTACCTGTGTGTATTTGTACGGCTGCTTGTACTAGTCCGGACTGGTGTCGATTTATAGTGCTAGCTCACTGAGATACCATGCCGCAGTTTAACACGAATACCCCACTCAGACACAGTATACTGACTCCGAGCCGACCAGTCCTTGTTTTAGCCCCTTAATGCCGAGCACCAGACAGGGTTACAACAAATACCATCTTTTAACGTCTTTTGGTATGACGCGGCCGGGGATCAAACCCCGGACCTTCCGCTCTCCAGGCGGACGCTCTACCACTAGACCACGGAGGCGGCTTTTGTGGAACAGGGCCCAGGTACTAGTTGGTGACTCTGCCTCACAACCACCTGATTCTTTTATACATGTTATTTAGTGGTTACTCCAAGAAGACAAAACAGTGATGGACGAATTGGCCACTCACTTTACTGCCAGCATTACCGCACAAACAGACCTCCTACACGGAATACACCAGATTGACCAGACACAGAGCTTGAACAAGTGCTCGAAAAACCGAAAAGATTAAGAGATTCGTTTGTGTTAAATACATTTGCCTCTCAACAGTCAGGTTTCTGCGTCCAAGCGATTTCATAAAAAATCTGGTACTTACAGCAACAACGGTCGCCCCTATGGATCCCCACAACCATTCCTTTGTCATCTCCTTCGTGTAACTGTACCTGCAGAAAACATTACAACATGTACACTATTGCTTTCATTGACATAAACACGTTTAGAAATATCCGTGCTCATGCGTTGGTAATTTTGTTACATCTGCTTTACTTTAGGCTTTCCAGTACAGCTTTCCACGTCGGTATGCAACTGAGACACTCGTCAACTGACTTAACTTAACATACAGCTGGATAAGGAATTATATTAACCAAAATTGAACCAATTTTTATACTCCAAATGTTACCATTTCGGATACTGCAAATTTGGGACATTGCAATAATCAAGGTCCCTTATAAATCATTGTCCAACCCTCGTCGCCTTCATCTGATTGGTTACAGCATCAGGTATCACATTTAGAATCAAGGTCCCTTGGACATCATTGTCCAACACTCGTCGCCTTCATCTGATTGGTTACAGCATCAATTATCACATTTAGAATACGACGAGTTACTAGGTCCCTTGAACATCGTTATATGTCACTCGTGAACATCAAATGATTGGTTACAGCATCAAGCATCACATTAAGAAAACAACGAGCGCAAGTCCCCTTGGACATAGCTATATATCACACGTGGCCTTCAGCTGATTGGTTACAGCACCAAGACGTCGTGTACGCCTACTGACCAGCAGAAGGCGACGCCGCCAACACACCCAGCAGCAATAAGAATCACGGTCATCCAGACAATTGGGCCGGCAAAGAAGCGGAGGAAGATCAGCATCACGATGGCGACAGCTGCAGAAGGGAAAAAAGGATGTAATTATGGGTGTCATTGTTTACCCTTGTTGTCTCAATACGTTTCCTAATAACTGTGAAAATGAATGGGTATTTCTTCGGTTTGCCGCCATCATTTTTCACATAACAGTACTCAATCATACACAAATCGTGCGTTTTTTAATTCTTCTCGAAACGTTCGTATAATGTTAATTTGAACTGGTTACATGGTGCATTTGGTCAGCGCTATTCATAATATGGAAGGTAGGTTGGGTGATTTTATTCATTCGTCCCTACTCGCCCCTTTCCGATATTCAAGCTCCTATTGCCGGATACTTTTTACGTATGGAACAGTTTGACCAGTCTCCGTCCCGCGGGTGTGCTAGTTCGATCGCGAAAATATTATGTTAACATATAACTGTCAAACTGCAACAAATATGACTTTTAACGAGTCAATGTATGACATTTATGAATTGATATATGTATCCATTCTCTGACAACTGAGGTTAGTTTCAAGGAAATGGCGGTAATCTGATCTTGATTGATATAAATAAGGGTAAATTGTGCAATCTGCCACAGGACCATGTAGCTAATATCTTAAAGATCTATCACTAAACTCGTATTGGACGAGACAATTTCATTCAAAATCAATGATTGTCATCAATGAATTAAAACGGTTATTTTGTTTCTGGCAGTTTTCAAGAAGCAAATATACCGTCGTAACTTACCGAGAGCAAAGCCGCAGAGATAGGCAATCTGCTGCCACGTCCTCTGGAGGTCCTCGACGCACTTCTGTAGGTGGAACAAATAAAGGTGTAACAATTGTACGAATTGTCAACGCTTCGAAACTGTCCATTTCCCGATTTTAACAATAATAAATAACATAAACCTTCCCTTTTAAATCAAAATATACCTGACCTCAAAAGATGTGAGGGTATCCATTCAGAAAACGTTCATGCAGTTACATTTATTAATTATCTGACAATAGTCAGCGACACATGCCTGAACCCCAGAACACCTTACCCAGCAATTTTGGAATTGGCGGATGTGTTTGGTTTTGCCATCGTGTCATGTAATGTAAGGGAAGCAACATTGTGGGGTCAGTAGAGATACTCATCACGCTGTCGCAGCATCGCTATATTACACCATAGAGTAAAACCAGTAAACCCACAACACACAGGCGACCACTGTCTACATTTCACCATGGCAACATGTGCGAACACCGATAACTCCTAAAACGTCAATAAGATATGTTTCTGTTTCATTTTTAATGAGTTAGACTCGCTTTAAGTCGAGTTAAGACCTAAACGAATTGAATTATCCGGAATTCGATATGTCCGTGTTACGCAATAGAGAATGTTGGTTTGTTTGTTTGTTTGTTGTTAAACGCCGACCTCAGCAATATTCCAGCTATATGACGGCGGTCTGTAAATAATCGAGTCTGGACCACACAATCCAGTGATTGACATCATGAGCATCGATCCATGCAATTGGGATCGATGACATGCTTCAACCAAGTCAGCCTGACCAACCGCTCCGGTTAGTCGCCTCTTCAACAAACATAGTCGCCTTTTTGCAGCAAGCATGGGTTGCTGAAGACATATTCTACCCTGGATCTTCACGGGTCTGATATTCATGTAAACAATTTAGCTGAGTATATCTCATAATTGACACGAATGTACCGAGTGATGACTTATCATGACAGTTGGAAAACTGTTCAAACTGACAAAGGAAGGAAGTTTAGAATTCATTAAAGTTTACCTCGGCAAAGTTTTCGTCAATGAGATCCATTAATTTATTTAAAACGTCTCCAAAACGATTTAGGATGTTGGTAAGATCCGAAGGAATACAGCGGTTGAATATCGACGAACTGAAACAAGAACATGAGACAGTACGTACTGCTGAAGTGTAAGGAATGACCTCAACAAATTTCAAGATTTTGTTTACAAGATGTTAATTTTACAAATAAGTCTAACTTTTAAGTATTATATTGACCAATCAAACTATGTGCGTTAGCTTACTGCTGTTTAACCGGAAGCGGTGGACAAGTTCCGGATCCGTTTGCAGGTCCTGCCTGGTAGTCGGTCACTTCGACATTGTAAGCACACAGTTTAGGCCCTGACTGAGCCAAATCCTTCAAGTCCTGTACAGTGTTGATGACTACCGCCGGACACTGGCTCACACAGATCATGACAGTGGACACTGTGAGATCTTGTTTAGAGACGGCTTCAATGTAGTTTGGGTTGTAGTAGAACACCTGCCTGAGATAGAAATGAGCGTTTTGTTAAGCGTAAGGGAGGTTACTCTGATACTTTGCTATTCAAGGAAGTGACTGTAGCCAAGATGGCGCGTGTTTCGAATCGTTGGAATTAGAGTTGGTGTGTTTTAGAATGTTATGAATAAAAAGGGTCTCGTGTAAGGGTTGTCATGGTGAGGGCAGTTAGTTGCTGGGGTGTTTGACTGCTTATGTCAGTTATATGTTTTTGTTATAATTATACAAAACGTTGTACAATACTTACGTCAGACCGGTTGTATCCTGGCCAGAGAGGGGCGCTCCATCGACGGGGTCGTTCATGGTGTGACATGTGTTACCCCAGCTGTCCATGCCGTAGATGAGGCGGTTGGGGTGACCAAGGTCCACTGCTCGGTAGATGACGTAACCCTGGTCAGATACAATCAAATATATTTTTCAGCACATGTAAGTGAAATCACATTTAAAATCGTTTGGTATTAGCCCCGTACAGTCGAATCTATCTAAACCGGGAAAATAGTGGTCCGGATTAATAAGGCATTTATTGTCACGATATGAACACGCAAGATCGAAGACACATATACATCAATGGGACAGTGAGTGAGTGTGATTTTACGCCGCTTTTAGCAATATTCCAGCCAAATCTTAACGAAGGACACCAGATATATGCTTCACATTTGGTTGTTGTTTGACGCCGCACTCAGCCATATTCTAGCTATATGACGACGGTCTGTAAACAATTGATTCTCGACCAGACAATCCAGTGATTGACATCATGAGCATCGATCCACGCATTTTGGATACGGTGACATGCATCACCCAAGTCAGCGAGTCTGACCACCCGATCCCTTAAGTCGCCTCTTGCGACAAGCATGAGTTGTTGAAGGCCAATTCTAACCCGGAATCTTCACGGGACTCACACATTGTACCTATGTGTGGAACAGAACCGGGTCTTCGGCGTGATGGAAGAACACTTTAACCACTAGGCTAGCTCACCGCCCTAACAATATTACATAAGTCCATTCAATGTATCTATGTACCATGTTTTGATATAATCGAACGAAGTATCCCTAACAAACGTTAAGAAAATTCTTTATAAATAGTTTTAATTGTTTTGAATTCTTATGAGCAAACATCCACCCCGTCGAGAAACGATGACACGTAATCATCCAAGTCGACTCATTATATCGCCTCTCACATGTATCATGGCAAGCACAGATCAATCCTTTCCTAACATCGCCACGGTATTCGTCGATGACTAAAGGTTCCGACTGAGTTAGCACAATGATGTGATAGTTCATTCAATTTTGACATCACTAACGATTGACCTCACGTGAAGATAACTGAACGCATATCTTCTACGGGTTGACCTACCTATCTATTGATCTATCCACTGAACAACCTACTGATAACTTGAATCCGTCGTAAATTTCCGTAATCATAAGAGTGGGTGAGTATGGTTTTACGCCGCTTTTAGCAATATTCCAGCAATATCACGGCGGGGGACACCAGAAATGGGCTTCACACATTGTACCCATGTCGGGAATCGAACCCGGGTCTTCGGCGTGACGAGCGAACGCTTTAACCACTGGGCTACCCGACCGCCCCTGTAATCATAAGAAATTTCTGCAGGTAAAGATAAGGTAATGATAAAGTCATTGTTAATTCAAGTGAGTGTAAGTATAGTCATGACGACTATTCGTTGCCGTACAATACAATATGAGTGAGTGAGTGAGTGAGTTGGGTTGAACGCCGCTTTTAACGGTATTCCAGTTTATCGCGGCGTGTCAGCTTATTGTGGGAAGAAAGCCTGAAGTGATGCAGGTCTCAGACGTTTACCATTTCGGTGACAAACCTAGAAACATAATTAGGGCGAACCGGGATTCGAACCCTCAATCATAGGTTTCTGGCGTGCCCAAGGGACGCAACTCCACTCAGCGGCACCTTAGACAACTGGGCCACCCGTGCTCCCTATTACAATATGAAACAAACAGTAAAACCAAACTAAACAGAACAAATACTCACGAGCCCCCCTATGAAGGCGATGAAGAGGATGAGGAAGACCACATCTCGACATGAGCGGGTTTTAGTCGGACCGGTGAAATGATCCTCAACCTGTCGGGGCTCCTGAAGAAAAAGGGGGACTTACTGTATTACGTTCCCTCTCAAATCAAACTCCATGTCAGTCACTGACAAAACCCCAATAAACAAATAAGAAAACACACTGAGACATTATTGACTGTCTGTATCTCAATCTGAGCAATGTCAATGTTATTAAAATTAAGTGTGTGAGTTGGGTTTAATGGCTCTTTTTACAGTACACAGTTATATCACAGCGTGTCAGGTTAATGTGGGAGGAAAGCCCGAAGTTATGCAGGCCTCAGACGTTTACCACTCGGTGAAACCCACGAGCATGGGTATGGTGCTGACAAACCTAGAAACATAATCGGAGCGAACCGGGATTCGAACCCACAATCATATGTTTCTGGCTTACCCAAGGGACGCAAATCTGCACAACCAGTTGCGGTGCCTTGCAGCACTGACCCTTGTCCCCTCATGATTTTGACGACCAGTTATATTCAACAGATACTAAACTGAACCAGTTCTTCTGAAATTTTCATCACAGCATCATTACGCTAATGACCCTTGATTCTTTAAAGTGTTTGTTCACATTTACAAAACATACAAATAATCGTTTTATATTTCTATTTTTTATTGTTTAATTCAATCAACGTTATTCACAATGGATCCATTTGTAAATGCACATATCACATGTCACTTTTTCATGACATTTACTATAAGGTGACATACAAGCAGATATTTTAGAAATGAAAACATATGATCATGTTGAATACAATGGATAATTTACATTGCAACGAGATTGTCATTCTTAATATCAAGTCTTGGTTCCCATAAAAAAATGTGTATTAGTATTCTTAATTGAGCGTGGTAATACAAAACGTTTTTATGACCCGGAATGACCATGGGCAAAGGCTCAGCATATTCTTTCTGTACTCCATATTAAACTGTTCCAGAATGCAACCTTGTGGGGCAGAAATGTTCAACGGCGTGAATCGTTGTTAAATTCAAATTCAGACTCAAATTACTGCAGCTCCAGCCCTTTGTGTTTACACTCCACAACTTTTGAGGTGCAACCGAAGCTTGCTTTTTCTACCAGGATTTCAAAGAACGTCATACAACTCTTGCTCTAAAGTTGTTTGATCAAGGTTACAACATTCAAGGTTTCAGTAAAGCTTCCAAAATGTTTTATGGTAGACATGTGGAGGACATTTCCAAATTTGACGCATAGGTAAGTAAATTGATGCCCGATGCAATTCCCTATTTTGACTAATACCATGTGTTACCATGTTTTTTCAGATGAACAATTGACCTGGTTTGCATGTTTTTGTGACTCACCTTTTCGCGAACACCTGATATAATCACTATTTGATAGGGATTCATAAACACATCCTCGTGAGTCAGAATCGTACAATCGACTCTGTTCTTGGCAGAGATTTCTTATGAATATGGGAAGGGTTTTGTCGCTTTCATTTCTCAAGAAACCGACCAACGGTGGTATATGGGCAATGTATGATCTGTGAGGGTCGAGTTAGAAATTGCAGTATTACTTAAGACAGTTGATTAATGGATTCGTTCTGTACAGATGCTAGTACTTTTGTCAAGCAAGTGCACTTCATGAATAATATAAACAATGACAAAATAGATTTTATAAATATACACTTAAGATAAAGGTTATAAAAGGTTCATGAGCTTTAATTTGGTTTTGCAAATTTAGAGAGTTTTTTCAGATCATTCAGATTTTTTGGTGTTAAACATTTCTGTAGTTCGGTTATATTACATTTATTTGTTTGTTTGTTGTTTAACGCCGACCTCAGCAACATTCCAGCTATATGACGGCGGTCTGTAAATAATCAAGTCTGGACCAGACAATCCAGTGATTGATATCATGAGCATCGATCTATGCAATTGGGATACGATGACATACATCAACCAAGTCAGCGAGCCTGACCACCCGATCCTGTTATTCGCCTCTTACGACAAGCATAGTCACATTTTACGGCAAGCATGGGTTATTCTACCCCGGATCTTCACGGGTCGGGTATATAGTTGGAACATTGGTGATATTCTTGTGGTTTATATAATGCTCCTTTTGGAGAAGAGTTCACATCTTAAGATATTGCGGAACTCGTTTTCAACAGGGGATGTGATTGCATAATTGTCATCGGCCGGTCTCGTGTTATCAACCACCGGATTATCTGGTTTAGTGAGTGAGTGAGTGAGTGAGTATGGTTTTACGCCGCTTTTAGCAATATTCCAGCAATATCACGGCGGGGGACACCAGAAATGGGCTTCACACATTGTACCCATGTCGGGAATCGAACCCGGGTCTTCGGCGTGACGAGCGAACGCTTTAACCACTAGGCTACCCGACCGCCCCATCTGGTTTAGTGAACTAATTCGGCTGTACTGTTGCTGGTACAGACACAGACATCATCCAATTACTGTAGTCTGCAGATGTGCGTCCCAGCATCGTATCCTCAGTTTCAAAATTTTAAAATAATGGTTAGGATAAGTGGAATCGTTCTCGGCAATATACGGGCCCCGTCTTACCACCCAGCAAACAATAATTTAAAGAACACATCAAATCCTACCTGTTTCTCCTCTTGCATCCCCGCCTCAACATCAGCAACCTCATCTTTCGGAGACATTGTCAGTATGTATACCCGACTTTGACATACGACACGTGCCTGCCATGTTATACCATGTCGCACATGTTGAGCTGCGTGTACCACTAATCCCCCGTTATACCACGCTTATGTATGTTCGGACGTACACGATACAGCACTGCTGATGCTATAAGCTACATTGACTTATTTGTGTATGAGGTTAGGTCTTGTCTTGCTGAAAATTGATAATGCTCATATTGCCTGTCTTAATTGCAATTCATACGAGAGAGACTATATTTAAGGAAACCTGTCATTTCAGCTATTAGAATGAAATGACCATTGTTTTGCACGAGACAGTTAGTGAATCACGAAGTAAATTCACTCAAACTTTGCACATTTCACATGTAAAACATTCCGTCCACAGTCTCACATCCTGGTTACTTGCGTGTAATAAACGTCACAACCACATGGTTCATTGATCGGGTACAATGAATGAAAATGACAGAAAATGAAAAATTGCGCGCAATGTCAGAGTGCCAGCATTGCAGTAGCATACCAAGGGGGACAATCAGGCCTAATACAATGCCCAGAAGATCTCAAGCCTGCATCGAATCTCACGGGACATGGGGCAGATATTGACTTTACTAAGATTGAATTCCACAACGCCATTTCGTTACATATCATTTCTGAATAAATCCCTTAAATATTGATCCTAGTTATGATATCAATGATCGTGTATTTAGAATATTAATATAATTAATATAATTTAAAGGCACCATACGGCCTATATCCGAAAGGGATTATTGTCAGATAGTGAATACCGTGAAATTTTTTTTGTGTGTTTATGATTCAAAACATACGATTTGTTTCTCAGCAAACCAGGTGAACGCAAACAAATGTTTTTGAACCACAGCGCATTATGTTTTTTTAATATATCCAGCATGCTTCTGAGCGAATGAGGACAAATCATTGACCGATCCACATCTTAACCCAAACCCAAAGAAATTAAATGGTTGGTACATTATGTGTATGTGTATTTTGTGTATATATTATTTTAGGTCAGTGAACTATATAGTGTATAAGGATTAATTAAACATATTAATAGTAAGTTGTACATTTATTTTCAATAGACTAGCCTCATATCCTCCATGATTATACAGGAACACAAGGTTATCCCGGTTGTTGTTTTTAAAAACACGACAGCAATTTTTTTACGATAATCAACTGAGGCTTTGTTTTGAGTTGGGATGTGGCTGTCCTGTGGTTGGCAACCACACAGAAGAACCAGAGGTTCTTGTTCTCTGGACCAGGTCATTCTAGACATTTTAGACCACTTTTTACCACTTTTACATATTTACATGTCCTATCAGATCTTTCGATTCTATAATTTCCATATCTATCCGTTTATATCAGTAGAATGTGTGCGGGTAGTTCGTCTCAATTCCGACAATGCAATTCAGGACTTAGAATAATGTACCTCTTACTTTAGTTCGTTATAACCGTAGTTCGTTACAAGCATATTTTCAACAAATGGACGGGAACAAAAAAACACTTCGTTATATCCGTCTGTTCGTTATACGCGTGTACGTTATGAACGTATTTTACTGTACATGAAAAAGATAAGTAGCTCAAGGCTTGGTCAAGACCGAATAATGTAGAATGAATCATGGCTACCAAGGACTAGATTTGTTGTCCTTCCAAGATTCCTGGAAGCAGAAATGAACTAAACATGGTATCCAGTTTCGTACATCTCTGCCCTAAAGATCTCTTTGTTGATAACGGGGAACGGTGGCCCGGTCGCCTAAAGCGCCGCAATTCGCTATGCAGAGTTGCGTTCCTTGGGCACGCAAGAAACCTGGAATTGTTGGTTCGATTCCCGGTTCGCCCCATTGATGTTTCTAGTTTTGTCAGCACCATACTCGTGTTCGACTGTTTCACCAAGGTGTTAAACGTCTGAGACCTGTATCACTCCAGGCTTTCCTCCCACGTTAAGCTAACATGCCGTCATTTAACAGGAATACTGTTCACAGCAGCGTAAAACTGAACTCACTCACTCTTTGCAGATTTTAGCCGACCCAAGGGTCATGTTGAATTTTGATTTGAAACATTGATTTAACTTGAGGACACGATAATTTAGAGACTTACGATTCCAACGCTTCTTATCTCGCTGTTTTAATTATTTTGGAAAAGTGACGTGATGACAGAGTCGGTGATATAAATGCACCAGTGTTCTTCGACCATGGCGTGCTCCTTTATGCATTATAACCAAATCTGTTTTTCAGGAACATCACACAGTTTTAAAGGAATCTGTTTGTCTTCTATCCAGACACATCAGACACAGTGTTGTCTGTGACGTTGGTGGAAATATGACCATATATAAATATGATTAACCACCATTGAAAAATCAACATATCTCATAACAAATATGTTGTCTACATGTCGATACCTGTTGACCTTTGGCACACATTGTTTCTTGTCTATTGAAGGGAAGCAAATACAGTGAAACTCGAATTTAAACTCGAACTTTAAATTCGAATGATCCACAGTTCGAAACAACCGGAATGACGAAAAAACCTGGTAAGAATCATAAAGATACATCTGTTTCACAATAAATCGAGTTAAAGGAGTTCGAGTTCGAGAGTTTCACTGTATCTACCTCTGTGGTCTTCACGTACCCCTTTCGCAGGTTGCACCACCGTGTCATAAGCCCCACAGCACCCCATGGCGAGGTGCTACCAGTATGTCTGGTCGCTGACTGCCTTGGAATCACTCATCTGAAATAGACAAGTCTTGTTGGAAAATACGTTCAATATTGTTTTCTTCAAATGTCAATATATCGATAGAAATCATCCTGTTTTATTGATTTTAAGTAAATGTGTTACAGACGTGCCCTCACGTTTCACATGTATGCGTTTAATGATTCTATCCACTGAGGTTGGTGAAATCGATAACACATGATCAATAATATTTAGATAGATATAAAATGAAATGGAGTAAACTGAACAGTTAGTTTATAAACCCAAATATCCGTGCCGTTTCACAGACATTGTATGGAATCCTAGAATGGACATTGTCCCATTGTAGCCTCTTGGTAAATATAAATTTTCAAAATATCGCGTTGTCGCGATTTTATTTTTGACATTGTTTGCTTGATTTTTGTAAGGGCGACAACGCGATAATGTCCTTTGAAGGATTCCATAGCACTTGGTAGAACAGGGCATGTCTCATATTATTAATGTAATTCACACCCATTTTGCTTTTGTATCGTATAGTTCATTTAGAGTTCAAACTTAAAAAATTACATTTCATTTTTTATTATTATTATTATTGTTGTTGTTGTTGTTGTTGTTGTTGTTCATATGTTCATTTTATCACAGTTATCATATCATGCAACTTTTCATGCATCTCGTAAGTCCAACTGAAGTAGTTACACTTTCTAAGCATATATATTTAATTCCAAATCGATCACTTTCGTTCAAGCTTCCAGTCAAACGGAAACGAGGCTGCTTTCAGCTCTGAATAATATATACGTTGTCATGACAACAGGTACACTATTGCCCGTCATATGCGATGAGAGGTTATGCCGCCTATTGGCTGTTAAAATATAGGACCGCTCTTTTGTTACCAGTGTCGTATAAGTATATCATGTAGATCTCTATGTCTAAGAACCTATTATTAATGGTCAATGTTGAATTATTTTTATCATACAGATAAGGCCATAAATAGTGTTTCCTTGTTCCTCGGTTTGTTTTTACAAATTTGTGAACGGGGAGATAATTTGGAATAAAAAACATGAAATTTTTTCATGCTTGATTTTTAGTGCGTTTATTAAAGGATAACGGGCACAAATTGTGTACACAATACGTTTCGTTATTAAATATAAATACTAGTGTTTTGGGAATGGGTGAAAAGGTCCTTTTTCTATGTGTTGTATTTCAAAGAAACATTTCTTTTCTTAAAAGGCGGTGCAGTAGCCTAGTGGTTCAAGCGCTAGCTCGACGCGCCGAACACACTGGTTCTATTCCAGACATGGGTACAACGTGTGAATGATAGCTGGAAATTTGATGTCGTAAAACCAATCAGCCTTTCTTCTTTCAATGAATATTCAAGATCGTTTACTTATTGTTTTTTTAGCTTTGCACGGACAAGTTCGGGTAGCTCATAGTTACCGCAACACGAGACTGTAGGCGTCTCCGGGAAACGCAATGACATGTTATGTTTAACGTTATCAAATCTTAAAATAATCCACTGTTCTCCTTTGAACATTGGTACTTCATGACTGAGATAATACCGATGTGACGTTACACTATAAACCCACTCCTTAGTTTAATTTATTGGCTACTTGAAGTGGGCTCTCTATTTTATGGCAGCCCGATACATCGCGTCCCTAATACTACTTCAGACGTTGTTTTAAATGTTGCACGTGCACTGACGCGAGTTCACGGAAATCTCATTTAACACTTTTTTTAGAACCGGGTCGAAATCGTTTCAATCTTCGAAAACTAATGCACTTTGACAGTACACGTGTTATATCCTTGAAAGAACGTCAGTAATACTCATTGGTTACCTGGAAAATCTTGCCACAAGATTTGTCTTTCACAAACTGTTATATACCTTGATTAACATGTCTAGACAAGAATAATTCGGTACGAACGGTTAAGTATAGTAAATGTATAGTACGGCGACTATCCAAAATTTAGGAAAAGGAAAAGTTTTGAACTACGTTTTCTCATGGCCTTAAAAAGATAGCATATTGTTTTGCCTTAGGGAGGCCTTGTGTTCTTCACTGTATACATTATAAGTGAGTGTGTTAATGCGTTAACGTTTGGCTTGACGCCTTCGTGTAACATGATTGGTTATATACATTGTCCCAACTTAGGGAATTGAACCAGAGATAAAATATCCAGAGTAAGCTGAAGATGTCATATTAGTGATTGGGCCTTCTAAAATGAACAAAAAAAGTAGGGGATCATGAATAGATTTGGGGATATTTTTAGGAAATTGTGTGTTCAGTCTTCACTACAAAAAAGATTTCCCAAAATATTCATGATTTTTTGTTCAGTATATATATATATATATATATATATATATATATATATATATATATATATGTACGTGTATATATCTATGACTAATATAAAACGGGGCGGTGTGGTAGCCTGGTGGTTAAGGGTTCGCTCGTCGCACCGAAGTCCCGGGTTCGATTGCCCACATGGGCACAATGTGTGAAGCCCATTTCTGGTGTCCTCCGACCTGATATTGCTGGAATATTGAAAAAAAATAGGACATACTCACTCACTCACTAATATACATAAAACGTCAATGACATCATTTCCATTCAGATGTTCTCACGCAAATACTATCTATATGTTACGGCTACTTTGCCTTAAGCATCACCATAACTGTATGACAAAGGTTCAGGCCGTCGTTCTGGGACAATCGTGCATTCATGACAAAGAAGATTTACGTCACGTGTGTGTGGCTAGCCACGGCAAAGCTTCTTCGATTGGTTGTATGTGACCAATGGCTGCAACTCGTATTATCCGATTATTCTTTCTCACGTTTCACGTTTCACGTTTAACACACACACGTGGGTATCCAGTTTCATAACCTGCAAACACGACAGTTTAGGTAATACCGCGATGATTGGGCAAAACTATTCACCTGTTCACCTGCGTGAGTTATCATGCTATATTAATCTTCTATAGGCCGGTGGCCAGTTACTGAAATACATTGTCTGTCTGTCTGTCTGTGCGTCTGTCTCTCTGATAGAACATGAAAAACAACCCTTATTTATTTTAATATTTCCCGAACTTCCATCTTTGTTTTGAAACTATTCACATATGACATCGTTCTTGGGCTTGTTTTAATACATTTCTAAAAATGTCACAACACCTGTTAAAATGTTGGTACCAGAGCACTACGGTCAAGTCGCGGTTGGTTGCATGTGATTATGTCGGATTAACGAATTTGTCGGAAAAACGAACTTAAGTGGTATCAACGTTCATGAACGAAAATTGGACAACTACACGATTGATAACAATCCAAACACGTTGTTCTGAAAATATGAAGAAGGAAATATTCTCAAGAGGATTATAAGTACCGAGTCATATGATGTACATAAACAGTAGAATCAGCTGAAAGGGTTGTCAAATAACTAGTAAACTATTACATTGTCATTGGATAATCGATTTTAGTTGTGGTATTTCAATATAAGTATATCACTCTGTGAAAAACAAAAGAAAATTTTTAAAAGAATACGCTAACATGAGTGAGTGAGTATTGTTTTACGCCGCTTTTAGCAATATTCCAGCAATATCACTGCGGGGGACACCAGAAATAGGCTTCACACATTACACCTATGTAGGGAGTCGAACCCGGGTACTCGGCGTGACGAATAAACGCTTTAACAACTCGGCTTCCCCACCGCCCCGATTTCGCTAAATTTATACAGTAAGCGAATATATAGTAAGCGGTGCTTAACAGTTTCCAAACGTTTGTATTCAGTGAATCCACGTATCGCCTTCCGAACGGATACTGCCTTTACATGTCGTACCTTACTTAATACCCATGATTCGTTTATAGGGACATTTGTAACTTAGGACGATTTTACTGGAAATGAATATTCGGATTGGCGGGTTTTCAGTGTTTAGGTCAATGTCATTTCAGCAGTAAACATTTATTCTTAATAAAGTCGCATATTACATTATTAAATACTCATTTCTAGTAGTGAAGATGTCGAAGGTGTCGACTTTTAACTGGAATGGTTCAGCATCCATCAAACTGTTATATCATGGGAATGACGCATCTTTGAAGAAAGGAAGACCCAAACAATTCTTTTTATATGTAATATAAAAATGAAATAGCTACATGTCTATAAATACAATCCCTCAAAACGAAGATAAAGTTTGCGATGTCTTTGACACAATAAATAATTTTGTATCCACTGTTACCGTCAACATTCACCCGTCGTTCCTTGAACTTCAGTGTTACAGGATATCATTTATCAATCCTGCATGCAGATTCGCCTACCAAACAAATTTCAAGTCACCCACGTAGTACCAACGTTCGTCGGTCATAGTTCGCGAAAGGTATATTGATTTTATTAAATTATTGATTAAGATAATCCGTTATCCGATAAACAAATTGTAATATATATATATATATATATATATATATATATATATATATATATATATATATTCGTAGTAATAACAGGTGTAATCTATTATTATAAAACCCGCTAGTGCTGTGACCTCTGGCCGATTCGCTACCTTAATTATTGCCTTGTCTGTCATTGACAAATCTATATTCCTAATCAATTCTAGTCACGCGTGGTCAATTACCATTATGTTAGCTTTATGGCATCATAAATTTCGCTGATATATCGATTGGTCTCGATATGTGTTTGAACACAAGTTGATTCAAGGCTCAGCGTTCTTGGGACGGTCTGACATGTAGTGCTATCTCGTTCAAACAAGGTTATTTTATTGCTTCGCTGTGACAAACAAACATACACAATAGAAGTAGTGTGGTGTGAGTGCGTTATTGTTGGTAAGGTAAGGTAATCTGTTTGAACGAATAGATGACAGGATGTCCTCATCCACTTTAAGTCATCATGAAAAAGATGCACATGTCAATCTTTCGTCATTTGTCGTTTCCATTTTTATCAATTTGCACTGCTATTCCAGCAATATCACGGTGGGGGACACCAGAATGTTTATGACGTATAGTACTAAACAAACAAACAAACAAACAAACAAACAATAATAATAATAATAATTATGACGACGGCGACCACGACGACGACGATGATGATGATGATGATGATATCTTGACACTGCATGCATGCATGCATGACTGGCTGATGTTCACTATTTAACGTGTGTATACGGCGGGGCCTATTGCGCACTGGATACGTACATGTTAAACCGAGCGATATATACACAAAGCTATGTTCGATTTGGCTTGTAGAAGAGCAACATTGGCATCATTCCAATAAACACTTCGCGGAACACTTGATGCGTATATACTACACTCCTCTGGTGTCACTACAGTGACATCTACCCCGCGGGGATCTATATTGATTCTTATGTAATACACTCCGTGTGTGTCGATCTATATTGATTCTCATGTAATACACTCCGTGTGTGTCGATCTATATTGATTCTTATGTAATACACTCCGTGTGTGTCGATCTATATTGATTCATATGTAATACACTCCGTGTGTGTCGATCTATATTGATTCTCATGTAATACACTCCGTGTGTGTCTATCTATATAAATTCTTGTGTAATACACTCCGCGTGTGTCGATTTATATTTTTTCTTATATAATAAACTCCGTTTATGGCGAGATATTAAACTTTAGTATTGTAGAAGAAGAATAAGTTTGGGTGTTATTTCACAGGTTCGCTTTATACGTGTCTTTGTTACATCCAACCAGTAGTGTTTTCAAAAACTCTACTGAACAACAAATGTTACAATATCATTAAATCAGATCTTTTACTATGGTCAAGGTTCGCTTAGGGTTCCCGAGACGTGATCGATTTGTCAGATCAGGTATTGAATCAGATTTGATTTTAATGAGCTAACAAATGTTCACCTGGCTGGAGGAGATATATAGTCACCGCCAAAAGAAACGCGAACCACAGGAACATATAGAAGAGTATGTACGTTAAGATGAGATGTTTCCAATATGTACCATTTAATGACAAAACTTACAATCAGTCAAGTGTTACCACAGAGAGTCTTTATTCTTATCACGATATGCTGCACGTGATTTCAAAAGTTTACACCCTAATCCTGCACAAGATAAAAGGTGCATCTCGAGTCATGGATCTATGACGTCACATGTGATGCGTTCATGAGCTTCGATTCACACAACATGCCAGTATGTTCGTTTGTGCGTCGAACCTCTAATATCTCTTGAAGTCTTCATGTATTAACCAACATGTATGGTACTGACGTGTCTTTCATATCTGTATAGCATGACCGGACAGGCCAGAGGCTTTGCTGGTCTTATAGGATGTATTTTTGAACGTACATGTGTATAACAGTGAACAAGAGGCATTTACAAGATTGCATGATTATACATGTAGCTGAAGAATGAGAATAGAAATTGCTCAATACAAGAATTGATACTGCTTGCGACCAAAAGGTTTACTAAAAAATGACAATTGTCAGGCGGGATATGTCTGTTCATCAACTATCAGACAGAAATTGTGACTGCAAAATATCTACATATGTGATACAAAATTATAAGCATCAGAAACAACAAGTCAACTTACCGACAGTCGCTTCTTGACGCCTTGCGGTATATCACACTACACACGTTCAAACAGGACGGACCACCACTAGGGCAATTCTGCATGGCTTATAGTTTTAAGCTGGGTATGTACCCGGCAGACAATGTGGAATATGTAGAGTCATGTCACAATGACTCACAATGCTCAATGAGTGATACCAGCGGAGGGCAATGATAATAACGGGCGACGTGTCAGTGGCTACGATCCAAGGCATTGATAGAATAGGTCTGAAGTGTAATTAACACCTCTAGCTATACGAAACAGTAGGGGGTGTAATTAACTACACTCGTTATGGTTAGTGTGTATGGCGTCCTTGTGGGTAGTTTGAGATGTAGCATTTGATATTGATGTTTCAGAGCAACAGTCTCATGATATGTGGGTTTATTTGTGCGATTCTTTGAATACAGTTGCATGGCTGATTTTATCCTTCCAGTAAAGTTGCTTGTTGATAATATTTTATCATTCCAAAGTAAAGTTGCTTATAGACAATACCTTATCATTCGAAAGTCAAGTTGCTTGTTGATAATATTTTATCATTCCAAAGTAAAGTTGCTTGTAGATAATATTTTAACATTCCAAAGTAAAGTTGTTTATAGACAATACCTTATCATTCGAAAGTAAAGTTTCTTGTTGATAATATTTTATCATACCAAAGTAAAGTTGCTTGTAGATAATTTTTTATCATTCCAAAGTGAAGTTTCTTGTAAATTATATTTTATCATTCCAAAGTAACGTTTCCTGTAGATAATATTTCACCCTCCCAGAGTAAAGTTTCCTGTAGATAATATTTCATCCTCCCAGAGTGGAGTTGCTTATAGATGAATTAATTTTCTTCCTGAGTAAAGTTGATTTTATTTTATTTAGTTGTATATTTGAATTACACTTACCATAAAAGGCATCAGCAGGGCGAAACGGACTTAAGCTATGGCTTTTCCAGCTTCTCGAAACAGTTGGACACCTACTTGGACTCAGTTTACTTGAGTGAGTTAGTGAGAGAGTTGGGTTTAACGCCGCTTCGAACAATATTCCAGTTATATCACGTGTCAAAGCCAAATGTGATGCAGATCTTAGACGTTTACAACATTGCAGAAAACCGAGAGCATGGGCATGATACTGCCGAACCTGGAAACATACTGTAACTGGGGCGAACCGGGATTCGAACCCACAATTATCGGTTCCTGGAGTGTCCAAGGGACGCAACTCCGCACAGCGGAACGCGGCGCCTTAGACGACAGGGATTATATAGATAATATAAACAACTTTACTTTGGAAGGTTTAAATCAGTTGTGATGACATCTTCACTATCATCAGTAATTGTAAGTCCCGTCATATCTACATAAGCGAGCGAGATGTATACGTGGAATAGGTAACTGAGACGTGCGTGTCCACTCAGCTACTCTAAAATGATCGTAAATATACTTTAATCCCTTCAGTCGTAAGAGATTAGTACTGGTATCATTTGTGACTACTTATCTTAAACCACTATGGTATTGCCTAGAAATAAGCTTCAAATGAATTATATATTAGCTACATAACTGTCATCCCCGATTACCACGTGTATTAAGTATTCATTCTGTGATGATAAATATCCTGCGGCTCAAACTCTGTCATAGCTTCCTAAAGGAGTGAATTGGGTTTAACGCCGCCCTGAACAATATACCAGTTATATGACGGAGTGTTAGCTTAATGTGGGAGAATAGCCAGAAGTGATGCATGCGTCCTAGAGCTCACATTGTGAAGTTTAAGAAGACAGCAGCCATGTTTGTTGTTGATGGGGAAGAAAGTTCGAAAAGGAATGTGTTGATGGTACTCGTAATCACGTGACAGAACGCACATCGAGACCGAGTGGCTAATGTTCCCGGTGCGGAGACCCGTGGGTGTGGTGCTGACAACAAAGAAACATAATCGAGCAGTGACGGGATTCGAACCCACAACCATAGGTTTCAGACGCAAACGCAACGCAACGCAACGCAACGCAACGCAACACTGCAGAGCGAATTGCGCCGACTTAGACGACTTAGCCACTCGTACCCATCTTCGTTTAGGAAGTGACGTCACCATTCTCAACTGTCCATTAGAAGCTTCACACAGATTTCCTCGTGGGTGTAATTTGATTGGACCGCTATTATTAGAGTCACTTGTTTCAAATCAGGCCCAAAACACAGCTTTGTGGTGAATGGGTCCAGGGTAGTTATAGAATGCAGTATTATACATTGCATAAACGAGGATGCATAACTTTGCATCGCTTATTCCTAATATTCCAGGATACACAGACATGTTTATTTATAATATGTATGTAAATTCAAGACGTCAACGCCAGAGAATAATCTCGATTACATGTTGAAACCGATTCAATTGGGCGTAAATTATATGAATGGATCACTGAAAATCAGTGATGACACCAGGTGTTCGCGAAAAGGTATGACATAATCAAATGTCCCTATCAAAAATATATATTTTAGTAGTAAAAATCACATGTTCATGTTGAGTGAGGGAGTTGGGTTTAACACCGCTTTTAACAGTATTCCAGTTATATCGCGGCGTGTCAGCTTAATGTGGGAGGAAAGCCCGAAGTGATGCAGGTCTCAGACGTTTACCACTTCGGTGAAATCCACGAGCACGGATATGGTGCTGACAAACCTAGAACCGGGATTCGAACCCAAAATCATAGGTTTCTGGCGTGCCCAAGGGACGCAACTCTGCACAGCGAATCGCTGTTCATGTGGAAAACATGTGGCTAATGTGGCTTTGATTATTGTTTTAATAGTGACATTAAGCCGTCATGGGTTAAGGATCCTGCCAGGGGATGTATATATCTTTGTGTAGTCTCCTGATCCTACTGAGTGTGTAGAGGGGATGAGGCCTTCATTTACCAAACACCAATTGTTCTGATACAGAAAATCACTGAAGTGTGATAATCCCCAGGGGTCATCTCGTCCACCTTGACATCAAGTATCGTGTGTGCATTGATCTGTGTAACACGTATCTTAATGGAAGCCCAGTGTCTACCGCCAAGGTCGGTATTCTGTATGTGATTACAGATCCAATTACACAACAGCTATTTATTAAATAGGGACTGTACACCATTGTCTGGAAGCCGTTTCAGTCTAGGTTAAGATGTTTCGTCATTGTGTTTAGACCCCTGCGGGATCTCGAGTTATATGTGATTATCGACAGCCTATGCGTGTCGTAAGAGGCTACCGAAGTGATCGATTTGTTAGGTTCGGGGATTTAGTTGATCGCGTGTCATCGTACCCCGACGACGTGGATCGTTGCTCATAATATCAATCGCTTCATTGTCTGGTCTAGAAGTGATTATTTAGAGGCCGCCGTCGCATAGCTGGACTATTGCTGAGTGTGGCGTTAAACAACAAACAAAACTTGTGTTTGTGCCGAGGCTCCTATTGGCCGTTTTTAAAATCATAATAGAGAGTTCTCTCCCTTACCTACTGAGTTCCCTCGCATTAATGTTTGTGTCCCATCACAGTTCGATTAGTGACCGGTGTTTAAAAGATATTTTCTTCCGTCTAATCGTGGTTATCAATAACGGCTAGACTGAAATTGATCACATAATGAGTTTGCAGATAACCAAAGTAGTGTTTCCACGACTTATAACGACTCAGTTTATAATAATTGCTGGGGGTGCCAAATTGCCCGATCCCAGTGTCCCTTTACAAGAAATACACTAAAGATTATACATTAATATCACAGTTTACTCGACCATACACCGTTTGCCATTGTTCCATATAGTGCTGACACTCCTTTTGAAGGAACAGTGTTATCCCCAAAATTTATTATCAGATATACATGTATATGTTCGTATAGAAGCCCATGTAAGTCGATGTTGTTGTTGCTATGTTTTGTTTGGTTCATTTTTGGATGGTTGGGTTCTGGTTTGTTTGTTTGTTTTTTATTGTTTGGTAAATTTTGGTTTCGAGTTTTGGCTCCGGGCTCCCAAATGCCACAAGCATTTTTATATATTTTATGCACTTCATGTGCAGGTGTTTCATTGTGTGACCAGGCCTAGGCATGTTGAAACAGCAGACTTAAATAATGCACCATGTTACAATGTGTGAACTAGACCTAGGCATGACTGACTGATTGACTGATATAGGAGATTTAACGTGCGCTTTCCGACTTTGCGTATTTCGCACACGGATGTGGCATGTTGAAAAAGCAGACTTAAATAATGTACCGGTGTTACAATGCGTGACCAAGCCTAGGCATTGTTTATTGATATGGGACGAGAAACGGGATATATTGTTTACGCTGCCTAACCGTGTGAGCAGTGAGTTGCAAGAAAAACAAACAAGAATTAGAGATAAGACCAAAAACTATATGACTTACTTAGGTACCTTTATTGATTACCATAGTCCCCCTGAGGTACTTTTTGCCAGGAGATAGCAGACGCTTATTTAACCCTTGATCGCGACGTGAGGTAACAAATTATATGACGGTATATTTTCGACAGTTTGAAGGAGCATATATAAAGACCCTACAAAGCACATGCTTAAGAGACCACAATCCCTACAGCAGCTATATAAAACATACAAATCGATTCTCCAGTCTACCTGCAAAGCATGATATACATTGTGTGACTGAATGTTTCCACGTATAGTCCAGCTTTTATAACACGATATATGTGGCAATGCATACGTTCTGAACATGTTTTAAGCATGACCGCTTATCTCATGCATATCATGTTGCGTGCACCAGACTAGTGTTTATTACAAATCCCAGAGCATATATCTAACAATCATCCCAATTCCACGCTTATATCCTCTTCAGCTCTAGGTCAGAAACTAAGAGACTTGAGGATTCTCTAATAAGGATTGACCTATAACAGTCCAGCACAGACTCGTTATTGTGTGGTTTCACGTTGAATTCCAAGAGTAATTATGAAGAAATACAGACTGTTAGTTGTTTATCGCCGCACTCAGCAATAAATCAGGGCGGGCTCAAATCCAACCAACTGGTGGCTGATATTATGAGCAACGCCTACATCACGGCGACCTTTATACAATCAAGTCTGGACTAGACAATACAATGAATGATATTATCAGCAACGATCCATGTCGTTGGGGAACGATGACCTACAAGCAACCAAGACACCGAGCCTAACCACCTGAACGAT